TCGATATCCTCGGAATCAAGATTCTCGGAACGTCTCGAAAATTTTCGATCATTTATACAGGTAGTTATCTATGTCTTTGATACGGTCCCTCTATGGATAGACTACCACGTGACATTGTCTATTTCAACAATCAAAGTTCATTTGTAGTGTGGATAGTAAAACAATAAAGACTAGCTTGCAGTCTAAAGTCATTTATATGTTAGAACCTATTTGCCTTTTGACAAAATATATGTGTTTTTAATAATGCGAATGTTTATTAAATATCAAGTATAATGATAACGCAATTATATAAGTCATGCTTTGAGACGGTCCCTGTACGCGCTGTGTGTGTAGTATTTAATACAGCGTGCTGTTGTGCATTGTGACAAAAATCTGGGAATATTTTATTGATATATAATGTCCCATAATAAACTGATTATTTCTGAACGTTTATCATTTGATATTTTGTATTTCAATCATAACATGGGGAAAATGTCGGAAAGCATTAAGAAAATTAATAAAACGATATTTCTGTTAAAAATATTTATCTTAGATCGGAAACACAGTGATCGGAAAGCAGAAAGATAATCAAACAAAAGGATTTTTCTGTCAAAAACATCTAATTTCATTTACAGATACTACCAGACCAAGAGAATATTCATTATTAAGTTTAAACTGAGACTGAATTTATTCTTAATAGATTATAATTGAAATTGTCATATATACGTGCATTATGTCTCACAGGTTTGAACAGTCATTACATTTATGAAAATTATATGCAACGTATGAGCACAAATGAGCAGGGATGCGTACCAAAAGTTAGCTAAATATCTAAACGGTCGTGTATGAAAAAATACTTGCATGGTTTAAATCCTTGCATCTCACAAAAAACGTAATTAATATTTTACAATAATCATAACAAAATTTAATTACTATCATAATGTTAATTATTTTATACTGTTTTAGTATGGATTTAATTATAAGTCTCTGCTTATATTTTGTATAGCAATATATACATATAGTGGAATGTTAGACTTTAAAAAGAGATTGATTTGATTAATAAAATGTCCATCCGTAAATACTTGACGTTTGTGTTTATTGATTTTATATTCTAAATTTTCGGGGAAAATCACTAACAGGAATGTATGTTAATTATAAAATTTCAATTCTTTTTTTCTTCGTTTGTTTTAATAGTTCAACCTAATAGCATCTAAATATTTGTACTATGGTACGATTTTGAAAATTGTATTTATTGTGTTGACCAGTTATCCTACACGTCTTGATTCATTCACATTATACATCACCCTGTTCACACGCACACTATCGGTTTGCGTTCACAAAAATTCCGGATAAAATGTCAATGAATCAGGAGTCAAAACACTTCAGGCAGGTAGTTTGACATCCGAATTCAACTATTAGATTAATATATGTTATGACACAAATGCGTATTCTTATCCAGAGTATCAGTGCGTATGCTTTTTATTTACTATTTCTTGCGCAAAAATACCACGTGCATGCATACATATTAATTTCACTCGTGAATGCGAATTTTTGATTTTCTTATCTAAATTCAGGACACAGCATTAAGAGCTTGACATGTGACTTTAAAGCATGGCTATCGTTACTTACGGTATTCTGACCTCTAGTTGTTTCTCTTTTGTTTTCTTTTTTGAGTCACTGTCCTTTTATAAACTTTGACATTTTCGAAATGCAAAGGATTTTCTACCCATGGAATAATTTACTTAACTTCCTACTTTATTTGGCCTTTTAACTTTTTTATTCGAGCGTCACTGATGATTCTTTGTAGAATTAACTCGCGTCTGGCGTACAACATTTTAATCCTGGTATCTTTTTATATCTACAGGTTCTTTTGAGAGTATGTTCAGGTATTCATAAAACATCTGAAAATAAGATATTCTTCAAAACCAAGTTTTCCTGTAGAATATTTGGATTGATTAAAGTAAAATCAGGAAATCCTTAACATTCGAGATGTTTTATGAGACCAAAATAAGTCTCTATATAAGAGGTCCTAATGATGCTGGTGTGTTACTCTCAAGAAAATATGCGAAACCTTCTTATAAGTTGCATGCCACAGGGTTTCACTTCACATGGAAATTGGACATTAAATTTGTCTATACAACATCTACCATAAGTACAGACAGCTTCAATAACGAGTTGAAAATAATTGAAGGCATCCAGGAAACAAAATATGAAGATATGATAGATAAAATAAATGCATCCAGATTATAAAGCAAACTGAGTGCTTAAATTTATTCTGCGATTGATTTGTGCAATTTGCATTAGACATCCGGTTTGTAGAAACTGGGATTTGTAAAAGGGTTATGAAAAAATGATGTACACTCCCAAGTAATAAATAAGATAGTCGAGCCTTAACTTGAATGTATATTCAAATAGAAGCTATATAATAAAACAACTTTTCTATTCACAACTATCCAAGATTGCGTTCCACTGACTTGTGCAAGAATCTACACACAATTACATATTTTTAATAAAGGTGTTTTAACATCATCATTATCTTATTCTATTCACAGTCAATTATTTCAATTCAAAAGTAAACAAAAAATTCAGCAACAATTTTTGGTGACCAGTCAGCGGTCTTGGGTTCACGTGTTGCTTTTCTTTTTTTAAGAAAGCAACTTCAAACTTTCTTTTTGTCTGTTTTCCCCGAATTGTCAATGTCCATCATGTGAACACTGTATGATTTTAAACCAAAGTGACTCTCAGTTTTGGATTAGAAATGAGAATGAACTCACTTGATTATCCAGGGGGAATACTATAAAAAAAATTCTTTATTCGCGATGTAGCTATGACTATTTAAACTTTTTCGTGTTATGTTACCTGTAAAATGGCAATTGTCTCATTGGCACTCATACCACATCGTATTATATCTATGTAGTTTTTTTTTATTTTTGACGCAAATGAAATATAACCTCGTGGCGCACTGAATAAAAGATTGGATTTTGTAAAAATTGGCGCAAATGCAATGCGCCCCAATAGACATCTGCAAACAATAGGTGATTTAAACTGTAACTGAGTGGAACGTACGTATCAAATGAAACTCATGTGTTTGTAAAATTTTGCTAACTTCTGCAGACTGGAAAAAAATGCACATCAAAATCCAGGTAAGTACATATAACTTTTATATATTGAAGTCCTGTCATGCCTTAAAACTTTCCTAGATGCATGCATGCATCAGTTTGTCTGTACTCATAGTCGATTTTGTGGTGTAAACACGACCATATTTTTCAATTCCTTTTCAGTTTGAAATAACCTGAAACTTATTTTCTGCTAGGATCGACTAATTTAATGTGTTAGTGTAATCAGAGACATATAATACAATGTATTATATATGTCTCTGGTGTAATAGTCCCAGTTTTCCAGATAAATCTGAAGATGACAATATTAGAAGAACTGTACGTTATTCTTAGCCCCATTAATTTTTGGATTTTTCTGAATTTATTTTACTAAAAAATCAGAAGGTCACTTATACATAAGTATACCTTCCTATTATTAAAATAATATACATTTATTTCCCGTGCCGGAGGAAGATATGAAGATTTGTTCACCCAAGAATATTCATATTTCACGAGGGCTCTGCCCGAGGGAAATATGATTTTTCGAGGGTGAGCAAATCTTCATATCTCCCGAGGCAAAGGGAAATGAATGTTTTATTCCACTGCCTATGCTTTGTTTACTATCAATACATTAAATATTATTTTGCTTACGTTTTTTTTCTTATCCGCTTGTTTTTGTAAGTCAAACTAAACACGACATACCCATTGATAACTTAACAGTAAGGATCAAAATTTAATTATAAGTCTTTTTGTTTTATCGTCTGAAATAAATTTGAACATGATAATGATTTTTGCTATCGCTATTTTAAGGAATAAGAAGTTCAAAACGTTATGTACATTAACCGCGCGTAACGTCGCACGAAGTAATCCCGACATTTCAGAAGGGAATATGATCCTCAGAATGGAATATGAAGATTTGTTCAATGACACGTGGTATAGTCTCAACCAATCAAATATTGATTAAACTATCAATATGTTTAAACAGTGGAATAACAACAGTTATTCATCTAACGTGGCGGTACCCAAATTGCACCTATTTTGACAGTTTTTTTACTTGCGTTTATTTATGATCCAGAAGAAATTTTCCATTCTGTGTTTATTTTGTAGATGTATCATTATTCACTATATAAATCCACCAATTTAATTTTGAATCCATATTGAATCATAGAAAATGACCTCGAAACGACCCGGCAATAATTCTATATCATGCAGTACCCAAATTGCATCCGTGCTTAAATTCACATCCGTAAAAATCGAATAACTAAAATAAGGTTTAATTTTTTCAAATATTTAGAACAATTTGACAATAGTCCATGCATGCTTACTATTATTTCTTTTAAGGTATAGATGCATGTGACATATTGTAATCGTAAAAAAGTGCTCATTTATCATTGTTTTATATAAAAGTTGACTTTTTCACTGAATACTTCATCTGTTGATACATACTTCGACCATTTTGTGTATATTTAAAAATATCTAGCTATGTTGAAAGACGTGCATAATCATGAATATCAAATCATTAAAATGCAAATTTTTTAGTCTTTAAGAAAACTTGTAAAATTTCCGCTGCTATTTTAGTATTTATGCTAAATATGTGCAATTTGGGTACTGTTACGTTATCTAGCAGAGACATAAAATACAATATGTCTCTGGTTATAGTTTGGCACTTGTTGGATAAACGTGAGTTTTTCAATTGTTGGAAAACCGTGAACGTGACGACGATACAACTGACTCATTTTTACTTATTTAAACCTGGGACTATTATACTATGTTAGTACAAGGATTTGTATAGTGATATACTATACAAATCCTTGGTTAGTATAATAGTCCCAGTTTAAAACACCTGTGAAGGAAGGTATGTTACAAAAGTCACGGGTGACTGCACAAACAGTTCGGAACTTTTCGGACTTTTCTATCGCTTCAAACATAATTGTTTACAAACAAACATGCATGCAAGGGTGTCAGTTTTCATTGAAAATAAAACTTGAGGAAGCGTATTACTTTCGCCAATTGAAAAGAACATAGATTTTGTAACAGGTAGATATATGCATATATTTTTATTGTCAGAGTCTATGACGTATTAAAAATGATTGTACTATAAAATAAAGATACTACTTTTTAAGCGATTACATGTAAACTTAGTCCAAATAATAATTATGACGTCTTGAAAGGCTATTTTAATTTTTTTCTGTGATGCCTTCCTACGTAAACTCATGGATACCCTGACTGACTACAAAATTAGTATTCCACAAATAGTACTGCATCCACAATTTGTAAATTCTTTGGAACTTGCATTGTTAGTGCTCTCCTTTGTACACTATATTTGCCAGGTTTGTATGAAATTTATATCAACGGTTTATAAATATCAGCATTGTCTCAAACAGGTTTGAAAATTACACTGATTGCTCCAAAGCCTACATTTCTTTAAGAAATTTATCAATTATATTCACACGAGTAACTTCAACTAAGCCACATGGAAATATTAATTTTATGGTAAAATTGCATTGTAAGTGCTCCCAAGTATACCTTTCTTTAAGAAATTTATTAAAAGTTTTAATGGCCGTGGACATGTTGGACAGATAAAATATGTTCTTTTATTATCCTAGTATTTGTATTTGAATCAGTGCTTCTCTTTTTCAGTGAATGCTAGAAATAGTCTATTTAAGCTAAAGGAAATGGAGTTTGACAAATCAGTCCTTGAAAAATTATCAGCACATGAAAGACTGAAAATTAATCGACAGTTACGACAAAAACAGATTGAAAGTTACCTGAGGTTTGTTAGAGATCTAAAAGAAAGAGGTGGTGGTTCCGTCAAAAAGCCATGCAAACCTAACAGAAAGAATACCAAACCTTTTTTTCCTGAAGATCTACTGCTCCAGGATGCTGTTGAAAATTTTGATGATAAAGAAGGTTAATTTAGATTACAATTCAATAAGTTGGTTGCCAATGTGATATAAAAAGATGCTATACTTTGCACATTCAAAACAATTTAACTTTTCACAGTACCTTTTGATGACAATTTGAAATACTGCAAAGGTAAAACAAATTATATGTCGTAGCATGTTGTAAAGAATGGTAATATGCGTCTTAAGAAGACACCGTTTTGTAGAACTTTATATTTATCCTTTCTATGTCATTGAGAATTTGAGTTACATGTAGAAAAGGTTTAGAATTAAATATTTCATTTCAGTACAAAGTAAGTAAGTAAATAGTTTATTACAGTGTCACAATCTAATATTATACATAATATATTATACATAAGATAAAAGCAGCATAAAAATGTATTATTCCTGCCTTAAAAGACATATGAGACACTTTTACCTCATGCCCATTAAATGCATACATAATTTAAAAATCATTTTTCAAAATTAAAAATTATTTAAAAGTACAAAAAAATACATTGTAGTAAGATTGCCTTATTTTTCTATACATGAACAAATGTACTACATGTGTACCTATACCCATATAACTGCTTTAAAGTACTTTATTATTTTATTTTAAGTAACAAGATCATTACAACATTGTTCTAACCACAATTTTAGAACAGGAAATGGAACATCATTATTGCATAAGGTGAGTTAGAAAGAGCCGATATTTACTATTCACAAATTTAAACCATCTCTCCAGTATGATACAGCTTTCATATTCATGTAGGAAGTGCAAAATATCATTTTGATTTAAAATAAAATTTTAAATGTAATTTCTATAATTGTTTGAACTCTAATTTTGTTTTGTTCCATAAAAAATTCCAAATACTTCTTTTATAATATTTGAACAGTGCATCAGCTTGGACAAGGGAAACCTAATTATTAACTTTACTTGATAAAATTAAAGAATTTTACTTAATGGAAATAAGCTCTACCATTTCATTGTTTATGACTTAACTAATTGATTAAGCAAAAACATTACATAAAAGATTTAATTGAACATGCACACTTATATTTTATTTTTATCTTTTAATAGACTTTATTGATTATAAAATACACAAGGTTTATAAGTTCCCTATCAAAGGATTTTTACAGTGAACTAGACATTTTTTCATGATTTTATAGGGATGAAAAGGGGATGCATGTTATACATAAATGCATACTTTACACGTACAAATATTGTATCTGATAAAGATCCTAATCACTGATAAAGAATAGATAAATAGCAGACTAAGAAGTGCTTTAAATTCTATAGATTCTCTCAATCTTATATGACGTAAAGTCAGTGAGATGCAACTTTAAAAAAAAACTTTTTCAGGGTGCTTTCTGTCTGCAATTACCTTAATTCTTATTTTATATATATTTCTAATTCAATAAGATAGGGGTACAGGAGAGGGTGGTAATAGAACTAAGAAAGTGTTAATAGAACTTGATATAGCCAAAAGAATTATGTAAGTGTCAGTAAGTGGATGATCAGATGCAAGTCCAGTTGTGGATTCAGACATGCATGGGCACATCCAGAACCTCCCCTTCTAAGAAAATAAAAAAAATGTAGTTAATAGTTAATATTATATATAAGGAGGCTCCCCTAACTTCTAACCCTAGATCTGTGCCTGAAGTCATTTAACTCAGTACTCAGTATCATACAGTTATTTCATATTTCATATAGTGTGCTTCAGATGACAATGCAGTTACAGCAGCCATATTGATCAACCATGGAGCAGACATCAATATACAGGATGACGATTGGTGGACACCTTTACATGCTGCTTGTTCATGTGACTCTGTGGATATGGTACAGTTATTACTCAATGTAAGTTGTCAGGTGTTTCAAACAGATATATATTTTGTTTTCTGTATCAAGATTATTACACTTTTTATTACATATAGGGTACAACCAAAAACCATGTCAAAAAAATAAAATAAGACTACAATCCACCAGACAGAAAATTGAACAACACTTACCGGTACATGAAAATAAAAGTTTATTGAAAGTTTCCAGATTTAACTTATACTTCCTTAATAATGCCTATATTTGTGATAAAATTAAGTAAATGTTTGAACCAGTTTATGATAACTGTACATATATACCTTGTTGTAGAGATTTTTTTTTAGTAATGAAAATATGTTCACAAAATTCTGAGATGTCACTTTAAACACATTTAACCAAATGAGAAAATACACTCCATCAAATGAAGAGAACTGAACATCACAATTAAAGAAAGGAAAATTTACAATAGGAAGATGAAATTTGTCTCATTGGTCATGCATTTTTAAATGAAGATTTCCATGACAAACTCTAATATCAAGGGTGAAAGCTAATGAACAAAGATCTTTTTCATGTTGGAGTAATTGAGAAAAATTGAGCTGGATAAATAAAAAAAAAACAATTTTTTAACATAGAATACATGCCTATGCAGTGTTCTCCCCAGGATTTTTTTCAGGCGCAAAATTCAAGGGCGCGTAACTCTTTTTTTAGAGTGATCTGAAGCAATAAGTCATAAATCATGACATGCAATATGAATTATAATGCTTTGTGTTATGTGTTTAATAATGCAGAGTATTAATGAATTACAAGAATATATATATGAAATAAATTGATTTTAAACACAAAAGTTATTTATATTCAGTCAATTAAAGAGGTCAAAATATAAATATTCATCTCTACTCTCTGCTCCTTCTAGGGATATTGTTTTTAGATAGTGTTATTTTGTTGGACAGTCTGTTCCTCAACTTTGTCTTTATCCTCTTCAGGGTTAAAAATTAAACCCCCACTCACAATAACTTTTGCTTATACCCCCTTTAACATTTCTAAGCCATGAAAACTCAGTCAGCCACTTGTCATTGAAACCAGAAACATGGTGCTTGCTTTTATCAATTGCTAAAACTTGAGCTTGGTTGGGATTAGGAGAAGCAATGAAATCTGCTTATACTGACAGTGTAGACGGAGGTGTATTCCCCTTTTCATTAGAAGTCATTGGTCTGAAAAAAACTTCTACTTCCATCATCTACCTTTTACTTATAATTCACCCCTTTGTTATTTGCAGAGAACATGTTCATTCAGAATTAATAAAATCGAATATGGTTAAGATATTTGGTATACAACTTTTTAAAACGATTTTTTTTTATAAATGAACAGCTGACCAGTTTCCGTAGTTTCACATTACGCTTCCGTGCGTATTATTGTTTAATACTATCTTTGGCAGATAGATATAAACGAAATTTTACAAATTCGTTTAAGTTAAAACCATTGAAATTATTTACCAGTGACATTATACAGAAGCTGTGGCGATACTGTACCCGTTTTGATAGTCACATATTTCCCGACGCACGGATTCACGATCGATGTTCAATGATCATTTTATTTCTAAAAATATGACAGTTTCAGACGAATTTACCTTGCAAGCAACATTTTTTCATTTTCTATTAAAGTAAATCACTCCTCGTTATCTTTAATCAAACTTTATTTTAATTTTTTCAACTAATAATACTTTCATTCATAGTTTTCATCGTAAATATCTTTAGCAATGTGTATTCAAATTTATCATGTGTATTCAACACGTTCATTGGTCGTGTTTAAATAGATTCTTCTTCTCGACCAATGAAAAAATTCGTTATAATAAGATATTTTTATTTCCAATTATGGGCCCCAAAGGGCATAAACATTACAACATCAATAATTTTTCATAATACAATACAAACAATGAGATAAAAAAAAAAAAAAAGTTAAACGAGAACTATTTAAGTTCTTAAAGAATACGTAGATAAAGAATCTATAGTATGTTTTTTTTTTAATACTAATGCATTTTATTGCAAGTGTGGTTGATATAGAAAACAAACAAGCAGCCCAAAAAGAAAAAAAAGAAAAATAGATATCCATATATGTATAGTACACAAAAAGTTGGATCAATTAAACATATAATAATTAGCCAAAAAGAAAGTAGAAATTAAGCATGTCCATGACTCATCCTGTGTCAGCAGTAAATAGGAAAGCATTATGGTTTCCTCAAGGCAGCTGACACCAGGGGGCGATACCTTATGGGCCATAGGCATGTAAAATGTGTGTAAATGTCTCTTTCCTACCTGTATTAAAAGCAAACAAGGAAGAATCATAGGTAACTTGAATGCAGTTGATACCAGGGGACAATGCCTCAAGGATATAAGAGAACATTTGAATAAATAATATATCTTAACAATTATTTTTTTTTTTTAATCAGCTAGTATGTTTGTGATATTCAGATGAATATAATTTTCTATTTCCAATCAAATGTATATACACACATAGATTTCCTTTAACTAATCTTCACTAAGGAAGATGTTTGTATATAAAATTACATATTATTTTAAGTAACTCAACATTTTCTACACTAAATAACCAGATAATTTTGCTTTGACTGCTCGTATGATTAAAATAAGAATTATATTTTGCAATACTAGCTAACATACAATTTCTATCATCCTCAAATTTGTTACAATCAAATAGAAAATGAGCCTCATCTTCGACAGTATTGGAAGAACATTTATTACATATTCTGTTAATTCGGGGAATACCCTGATATCTACCTAATTCTATTTGTAATCTATGAGAAGATACACGTAATTTAGTAAAACTTCTTCTAAGTTCAAAATTCTTGATCAATGTTAGATATTTTTCAAAACCAAAATTTGTTTTATATAAAAGGTAGGTTTTCAGTTTACTGTCTGAAAATTTATCTATTTGTTTTTTCCAACAGCTAATAAACAATATTGATAGCTTGGTTTGTATATATTTCTTAAATTTGTATAAGGATTCACAAAATGGAGCATTTATGGCATTTGTAAAGTCAATACCAAGTATTTTAAAAACAACATTTATTGAACCATACCATGATGTTATATTCATGTGATGTAGTGTCTTTGATTGTGTATATGCCTCTTTTAATAGAGGAAAATTATTACCTAAATTCTCTAATCTATACCAGTACAATAACATTCCTTTTATAATATTAAAATATATTGGAAATCTTCCAAGTTCAGATAACACTGCAGCATTTGTTGTTTTCTTGTGTACCCCAAGTATAAATTTACAAAATTTTATATGAAGTTTCTCACAGGGTAAACCTGAATATAATTTTTCAAAAGATATATCTTCCTTCTTACATTTAGAGGAAAGAGAATTAAACATCCCCCATATTTCGCTACATGAAAAGCTATATTTAAACATGAATACTTGTTTTTACATCAGGATTAAGTGATAAAAGATCTTTCCTTAATTTGAAATGAGCTTTCAGGGATTTTTTGTATAGTTCATTTTGAGCATAACTGAATGAACCAGATGAGCTTAAATATAAACCTAGGTATTTGTATTTTGAAACACATTCCAGATTTATATTCTGAAATGTGAATATCTGTTTTACATGTCTGCCTGCCTTGTTGAAAATCAGCACCTTTGTCTTATTAGTATTCACATTGAGACACCAATCTTTGCAAAATTTATCAAGCATTCCCAGCTTTTCTCGTAGTCCTTCAGCTGATGTAGATAATAAAACAATATCATCAGCATACATTAAACAATGTAGATCTTTGTCATTGACATTAACTGGGTCTCTAGTATCTGACAAATATCTGGGCAAATCATTTATGAATATCTTGAATAAATCCGGACTGAGGTTGTCACCTTGTCACCTTCAAATCGTTATATAAATGGTCAAGTGATCACACACACGATGCGTAAATACAATGTATTTGCGATCTATTTCTTCAATTTCTGCACTGAAGTTTTTAAAAAAATTTATTTTCTTCAAAAAATATCTATCTTCTTGATGATCACTTACGCTATTACCTGATAACATAGTCCGATAAGGCTGAGATAAGCGTGGCTCAGGTAAAACTAATTATCAGTTATTGCGTAACACTGACCGACCCATCAGCGGTGATCAGTTACTTGACAATTTTAACCAACATTTATAATGAAAATGTGAAAATTAACACGCTGCGGGATCAAGTATTAAGGGACAGCGGCCAATTAAGACGCTGCGGGATCTACAAAAATATTATGAAGGCGCTGCGGTATCGCAGCGTCATATCGGCCTGGGGAGAACACTGCTATGTTTTCTAAATATCAATTATTGTTGAAAATATCTATAATTAGGTGTTCAACTGGATCTTTTAGATTTAACAATAAACTGTATGTCATAGTAGTAAAGGAAAGACAGAGACAGTTTCCAAATTGGGAAATTTAATACCAATCATTTAAATCTATACTTTATCTTCAAAAACCAATATGAATATTATCTAGAAATATACTAAGGGCTTTTATCCTTTCTTGGCCTGTTTGCAACCTTTATTACTAAAATGAATTATTTGCAACTTTGATTTTGTAAGAATGGTGCTGATATAAGTCTGGTTGATGTTGATGGATTTTTTGCTGGAGACCATTGCCAGGATGGGTCAGAATGTCAACAAATTATCAATAATTACATGGAAACACATGGTATGAAAGTTTTTCAGTCATTAATACCTTTGTCAAACCTTCATGGGATTTTACTTAAGTTGGTTAGAAGCAATTTTATGATCAAAAGACAGTTTATATATATAATTATACAGATCAAAATTTTGAAAATATTTATTTTCATTTAACAGTATTTTACTGGTAAAATTACTTTTTTTTTACTGTTAACAAGTATAGATAAAGTCTAGGGTTAATGTTTGTTTCACATCAGTTACTTTGCATGAAACTTTGGCAGGAGCTTGTTTATGATTACTACTGGTAATTAAAAATCAAAATCAAAATTTTGAAAATATTTATTTTAATTTTTCCATATTTAACTGATAAATGGACTTAGTTTTTTCCACAGTTACAAACTTTTGAAGATATATTGATTTCATTTTTAGTATTTTACTGCCTGGACCAAAGCTAATCTTCAAGATCAATATAGAGTATCTAAAGAAAAAAGATTGATTTTTAAAAATTCTGTATTTTACGGATAAATGGACTCACTTTTTACAGTCAACATAATACTTTTCCACTGACAGCAGCAATTGCCTGCGAGACACAGGGCTCCACGGAACCCTTTACAAATTTTTATGGTTCATTGATTCAAATAAAGTTTGGTGATTTGGTCACTTTGTTAAACATAAGTTAGATTAAAGACTGGATTAAAGACTGAACATTTATTGCTTGTTATATGGCTCGCATAAGTTTGATATGATATGATAAGTTAGACCTTGATTATTTTTACTTTCAGTAAATTATCCAGTTATGATCAATTATGCAGGCAAAACATTCTGAGTTTTTTATTTGGTATATCTCATTTACATATAATCTCATCACTGTATTCATAAACTTTAAGTTTAGAAATTATTTGAGCCTGACCATTTAGTCAGAAGTGCTCTATTTTAATTACTCTGTCTGTTTGCCTGTCAGCATTTCTATGTGGTATGATAAGTCAAGATTGCCTCAACTGATTTCAATAATTTTTGTGCAGTGTGAACATCTTTATATGGAAGGTTCCTTGTAATGTTTGTAAAAATTGTGGTAAAGTTTTTGTGAAACATGAATCTCAAAATTTTGAGAAGCATATCACCTATGTGCTAAGATTTAAAAACAAATTTGATAACTGTATTTATGAATGTGATTGTTCATCAATGAATATACTGCATACAAATATTGCTTTCAGAGTTTAACTTTTAATTCTTTTTAATGAAATAATGACCTTGTCTCATTTTATCTCATTGAAATAAAAAACATAACAAACATTTTCAAATCTTCTATCTGAAGTATACAGATGAATTTCAGTAGAAAAAAGAAGAAAGTAGAAAAGTAGTGTACCAGGTTACCTGTAATTCTTTTTAATATATATTAATGTGTAACTTTATTTAATATACATTAATGTGTAACTTTATTTAATATATATTAATGTGTAACTTTATTTAATATAAAACTAGTTGATTAGAATGAACTCTATTCTTAATGTTTTTGGCCAAATTTTTTTAATGATGTTTAGGAAAAAACCTGAATCTGTGCAGAATATATTTGGTAAGAAGAAATTTTGTAATGTTCATTGATAAGTAGATGCATTTTTTCACCAACAGCACAGTAGCAAAAGTATAGTTTGCCACTTTTGTTCAGAAAGGAGAATCATGTATAACCTGGATTTACAAAATAATATATTCTTGGAGTGTGGGTGAAATGAGTGAAAACTTGGATTTTCCTATCTTTGTAAGGTTCAAAAGTGAAACTTCCTGCTTTGGACAGAAAATAAATCAACTTTCTTTATTTATATGGATGTGAAAACCATGATTCTAGCATGTTTAATTCATCCTTTTGATCTCCATAAGTTCATTATATTACTTTCCATTTTTTTTATTATCTAACTAAAAATACTATTTTTAATTATTTTTTTTTATTTACATAACTTCAATATGATTTAAATTTTCTTAATGTATCATTCATGCATGATCACGAAACTTAAACCTGATAGATGTTTCAGATTTGTGAGTCAGGGTTACCTCACTAGTATAAATGAAAAGAAATAAAGACAAATATGTTTTATAACACCTTATATTGTAAGGCCAAAAATAAAATAAGAATTGTTTGATGTTGCCTACCTACCCAGTCTACCCGAAAAATTTTATGACACAAATCATTTCAATTTTTTTTTTACTTTGTGTTTACCTGTTATCTTAATAATTCATATAGGACTGGATGCTAGTAGGAAAAAAGAAATTCAGTTATCAACACCTCGTCAGATGTACAAGGATGTACATGATCAGTTATCTAATGGTGGATCCCCTAACAAACTCAATGAGAATAAAGTGTCACTTGTAAGTCTTAGCTTAGCTAAAAATGGAATTGCACTAAGTTTTTGTACAGAAAATACAATGTTTCTTTAAAATAATTAAGAATAAATTATACAATTTTAATTTATTGGTACATTGGTTTTATCTTCATACTTCGTAGGATTGTTTTATCATCACAGTCTATTTGAGTATACTCTTTCATCCTGTCTTGTTGACTTTACTGTTCCACCATGTCTATTTGACTATACTGTTTCATAATGTCTAGTTGACTATACTGTTCCACCATGTCTATTTGACTATACTGTTCCACCATGACTATTTGACTATACTGTTCCACCATGTCTATTTAACTATACTGTTCCACCATGTCTATTTGACTTTTCAGTACCTCCATGACTATTTGACTATACTGGTCCTACATGTCTTTTTATACGCCCGTTTACGGGACGTATTATGGTATACCGTTGTCCGTCCGTCCTTCGTCAACATGTCGGACATTAACTCAAAAAAGCTTTAACCAATATGCATGAAACTTTGGTGAATTGTTTATATCTATTGACGTGAGCTCCCTTTGGTTTTTTATAAATTTCAGATTTACCCTTTCCGAGTTTTGGGGTTTTATTCATTAAAAAAGGGGGGATTTTCCAGTTTGTGGACAATAACTCAAAAACAATTTCACCAATTTGCAGGAAACTTTGGTGAATTGTTTATTTCTATCAACATGAGCTCCCTTTTGATTTTTATAAATTTTAGACCATACGTTTCCGATTTATGGGGTTTTATTCATTACAAAAAGGGGGATTTTCCAGTTTTCGGACAATAACTCAAAAATGCTTTCAGCATTTTTTATGAAACTTTGGTAAATTGTTTATATCTATTGTTGTAAGCTACCTTTTGATTTCATAAATTTAAGATTTTACGTTTCCGACTTATAAGATTTTATTCATAAAAAAAGGGTTGATTTTCAAGTTTTTGGACAATATCCTTAAAGTGCTTAGAGCAGTTTTCATTAAACTTTGATGACTGATTTATATCTATTAAGATAACCTCCCTTTAGTTTTTTATAAATTTCTGATATAATATTGAGAAGTTATTGTTTGTTTATAGTCTGGCAACAGATTTACTAAGTATTGCGCAGCAGCACAGTGTATTGCAAGAAATCTTTAATTGAATATAAATTCAATTCATATAACCAATTTCAAGTTCTTTGACTACATTTATTCAGAAACCTATAATATGTCAAATATTTAATTACAATCCAAATTCAGACCTGTATCAAGCTTGAATATTGTGTCCATTTTTGCCCCAACTGTTCAGGGTTGGACCTCTGCGGGCGTATCCAGCTGTGCTCAGCTAAGCAGTTTATTGACTTTACTGTTCCTCTATGACCATTTACTATACTGTTTTGCCATGACTATTTGACTATACTGTTCCACCATGTCTATTTGACTATACTGTTCGACCATATCCATTTGCCTTTACTGTTCCTCTTTGACTTTTTGACTATACCATTCCACAATGACTATTTGACTAAACAGTACCACCATGTCTATTTGACTATAGTGTTCCATCATGTCTATTTGACTTTACTGTTCCATCATGTCTATTTGACTATACAGTTCCACCATGACTATTTGACTATACTGTTCCATCATGTCTATTTGACTATACAGTTCCACCATGACTATTTGACTATACTGTTCCATCATGTCTATTTGACTATACAGTTCCACCATGACTATTTGACTATACTGTTCCACCATGTCTATTTGACTATACAGTTCCACCATGACTATTTGACTATACTGTTCCACCATGTCTATTTGACTATACTGTTCCATCATGTCTATTTGACTATACTGTTCCACCATGACTATTTGATTATACTGTTCCATCATGTCTATTTGACTATACAGTACCACCTTGTCAATTTGACTATACTGTTCCACCATGACTTTTGAACTGGTAATTCATCTACAATTTTATAATACATAGCATTTTTTTCTGTTAATGAAACATGACACTGCATTATAGGATGTTTAACAATATCAAAAGACTTTTTTTTACAAAGAGGACATGTGGCTTTCTTAAAGGCTGTTGACCCTAAAGCCACAAGCAATAAAAGTTCGAGTTTTGCATTCATTTGACTATACAGGTAACATGTTTTTTTTGTTTGGTTCACACTATTGTTTTCCTTTTTTCAGTTACACATAGCCTGTGCTAATGGGTACAAAAAAGTCATAAAGTTACTGATGAAACATGGAGCAGACATGAATATTAAAGATAACCTGTATTGGACCCCATTACATGTAGCTTCTAGATTTAATCAGGTCAGTTGTATTGTAAATCTTTTCTTGAGTCTCAGGATTTAAAATTGTTACTTTGCAACATGAGTTTTGTGTTAAATTGTTCATTTCTTGATGACTGTATGGAAACTTTGGTGACTGTCCTTCCTTGACTTACTGTTAGGATGAATCTGAGGGAGTGTTAACCATTCTATCAAAAGATAGTCGGTCTGACCATTTTTGCATCATTGCCTTGGATATCATTTTGTATAACAACAGTTTTCAAATACCGAAATGACATACAATCTGATATCTTGGTGCAGATAGGAAAAGTTGCCTTCCATCTAAAGAAGATTACTCTGACATTTGATACATCTGAAGCCTATTTTCAAGATGTATGCTTAAATTCCATTCAAGAAGAATATGTGACCTACATCCATCAAACTTGGTATACATTCCATGGTATTCTGCAGAAGTGTGTAATCTTGACTTTGAAGAAAAGGAGATATGGAGTATAGGTCATTGACAGCAACCAAACAACAAAATTAACCAAAACACATCTAGAGGACATCATACAGTCTTCAACAATAGTCAGATATGAACAAAGGAGATGTGAGATTTACGTCAAGGAGACAGCAACCCAAGGATAAATAATATCTAAAAGATTTCTAGAGGGCAACATTATTAACAGTATTCAGCAATTAACTAGTGTCTACACAATATGTCGAGCTCTAAATATAGTCTGTAAAAAGCTGTGAATTAAAAACATAAACAACCAAGGATCTGCCATTAAAACCCAATTCTAAAAATAAACATAAACATTTAGATATGACATAAGACAAGCATATGAAATGTAATGGGGTTAAACTAGTTTTAAAGAATAGTCTGTAAAAAGCTGTGAATTAAAAACATAAATAACCAAGGATCTGCCATTAAGACCCAATTCTAAAAATAAACAACAACATTTAGATATGACATAAGACAGGTATATGGAATGTAATGGGGGTTAAACTAGTTTTAGAGATCCCAACAGTTCCCCTCTTTTAATTGGTTAGTTGAAAAATAAAAAAGACATAAAAGAACATGCAATAAAAACCAATACCGGAAAAGCACTGAAATCTTAAATAATGATATACTTGTAATAGGTAACAAAAGCTTAAAATTGGTTGCTGCACTTCATAGAAGATTTTGTACAGCACATTATAAACAATATAGGAAGACTTGATCTTGTGCAATGCCCAAAACAAACAATATAGAAAAACAAAGAAACAACTAGTATTGTTTCAAAATATATATTGTCTTCAAAACATGTCTATCTCTAAATCATAGCAGAAGTTGTGAGTAAATTAAACAGAAACAATCAATGATGTGTCATTTACACCCAATTCTACAGATGAGTTTCCTGATGTGGAACAGGCACACACAAATGATACAGAACATCTGGCTAGGGCAGAAATGATTAGAATGTCAAGATCTACCTACTGTCTATCTTGACCAAAGCTGACAGACAACTCCTTATTGGATCTATTGCCCTTAAATGATGATTTTTTTAAACCAATTTTTGTGATTTTGGCTATCATCTTTGAAAACTACAATTGATAAACAGAAAACTGTAAATTGCAAAAAAAGATCTGCATGACAAGATCTTCTTATAAGTCAAATGGCCGAAATTGTCAGTCCACTCCTTATGGTCACACACCACTAATTCATGCACATTCAGAAAAACCATATCAGAAATTAGTTCCTACCCATAGGTGTAACTTTCAAACAATGTAGAATATTTTGGTAATTTTGGTATCAAATAAAAACTGAATGACTGGTGATCATACTGTAGTTCCAAGATAGTCTGTTTTTCTGTGTATGACTTCATTTTACACACAAAAGTCATGTGATATAAAGTCATGATTATATGCATTTCAAGGATCAATACAACATGGTCTGCATGAAAACGTCAACTTCCATGTGATGTCACCTTATAGTAGGTTTTTATCATGTTGAGGGGGTCAAATAGAAAAGTGTGGAAGAATTTTTTAAGTGAAAATTTATTCAAATCATTTCATTTGCTTAATAGGTCTGTGTATAAAAACTAGACAAATGCATAGAAAAATGTCACATAATACAACATTTACAACCTCCACACTGATAGAACAATTATCTCGGAACTCTCTTATTGTAGACACTCTTTCTTTGATAATTCTGAATAATACAATACCATATTGCAGCAATTTTAGGGCTGGAAATTGCAATCAACAGAGTTTTTCAACCTAAAAAGTTAATTAAACATAATAATTGACATCAAATATGACCAATTTTCATTTGAATGGTTATAACTTCTTACATTTGAATCTTATCCCATTAATAAAGCTGTTTATGTTGTAATCTTCCATTTCAAGCATTCATAGCTCTTTCTTAGATCAAAGGTTTACAAGGGTAGACATTCGTTGCAAAAACTTGTATGGAATTTTGCCATTTTTCTATCTTGATTTATGAATGATATGATACTGGTCAACCCTAACACCTGTCCACGCCTTTCAACTTGTTGACCATGTCAACCCTTACAATTTCAACCTGTCAAAGCTGTCAACCTCTGCAATTTCAATGTCGTGTATCCTACATAGTGCATACTGGCAAAGCTGAATCACAACCTTTTAAACAGGCAGGAACTATTTTACCCTATACCCTATATCCTTGGTCCATGGTAATAAAATTACTTACCGGTACCTCCATTTATGTTTGTCAACCCTGAATGATATTTCTTTATATACAGTTGCGCTTACAAGGTATGTGAATGTCAGTTGACATATAGACTTAACTATAGTCCTTAAACAAAGACTATTTATAAAAAGCCAGTATTGTAAAAATTATTTCAATACATGTATAAGTCAAACTGATCACCCTTAAATGTAAGGACAGAGATCTTGTGTCACTGCAAGCTATGCAAGGCAAGCTTTTGAATGTTGGTGACTTTCTTTGAGATTAATTGAAGTAGAGTGTACATCTAGCATGAGTGGTTATAGGCTTATATGAACCAAGGTAAAATAATAATGTCTATATGTAAATTATACACAGAACATATAGTTAAAATTGAGTAGGATGTTTGAAGATCACGAATAAGATATAGCTTTCATTTGCAGTTGAAAACAGTTAAAACTTTAATCAAGCAAAAAGCAGATGTAAATGCTTTGGACAATGAAGGAAATAAACCATCAGCTATAGCAGGAAGTAATGAGATTAAAGCTCTCCTGTTAAAGAGAGAAAGAAAGACTAATGAAGATTCTGCACCATCAGAATTAGATGTTGAAGATGATGACGATGAAGAAGATGAGGATGATGGCCTACAAGGAGGGGAGATAATTAGAATCAACAGTAAAACAGTGTAAGTTTTTTTTCAGATGATTTTTTTATCTTTTGAATGTTGTAGAAGTGAGAATAGGTCATTTAATTGTCGAGCCTGCGACTTTTGTCGCAGAAAGCTCGACATAGGGATAGCGATCCGGCGGTGGCGGCGGCGGCGGCGTTAGCTAACTTCTTAAAAGCTTTATATTTTAGAAGATGGAAGACCTGGATGCTTCATACTTTGTATATGGATGCCTCATGTTACGAAGTTTCCGTCAGTCACATGTCCAATGTCCTTGACCTCATTTTCATGGTTCAGTGACTACTTGAAAAAAAAGTTCAGATTTTTTATAATGTTAAATTCTCTCTTATTATAAGTAATAGGATAACTATATTTGGTATGTGCGTACCTTGCAAGGTCCTCATGCCCGTCAGACAGTTTTCACTTGACCTCGACCTCATTTCATGGATCAGTGAACAAGGTTAAGTTTTGGTGGTCAAGTCCATATCTCAGATACTATAAGCAATAGGTCTAGTATATTCGGTGTATGGAAGGACTGTAAGGTGTACATGTCCAACTGGCAGGTGTCATCTGACCTTGACCTCATTTTCATGGTTCAGTGGTTATAGTTAAGTTTTTGTGTTTTGGTCTGTTTTTCTTATACTGTATGCAATAGGTCTACTATATTTGGTGTATGGAATGATTGTAAGGTGTACATGTCTAGCTGGCAGGTGTCATCTGACCTTGACCTCATTTTCATGGTTCAGTGGTCAAAGTTAAGTTTTTGAGTTTTGGTCTTTTTGTTCTAATACTGCATGCAATAGGTCAGCTATATTTGGTGTATGGAATGATTGTAAGGTGTACATGTCTAGCTGGCAGGTGTCATCTTACCTTGACCTCATTTTCATGGTTCAGTGGTCAAAGTTAAGTTTTTGAGTTTTGGTCTTTTTTTCTAATACTATATGCAATAGTTCAACTATGTTTGGTGTATGGAAATATTTTATGATCTATATGTCAGTCACGCAGGTTTTATTTGACCTTGACCTCATTTTCAAGGTTCATTGCTCAGTGTTAAGTTTTTGTGTTTTCGTCTGTTTTTCTTAAACTATAAGCAATAGGTCAACTATATTTGTTGTATGGAAGAATTGTTAGCTGTACATGCCTGCCTAGCATGGTTCATCTGACCTTGACCTCATTTTCATGGTTCATTGGTTAATGTTTAGTTTACTTGGTTAATGTTAAGTTTATGTGACAGTTGTAATAAAGCTTTATATTTAGGACTATCAACATAATATCAATGATTAGTAAAGAAGGCGAGACATTTCAGCGTGTGCACTCTTGTTTTCCTTTATCAACAACTTTGGATTCATTATTCATTGGATATCAATTTTCCTGCATTTTGGGGTACAGGTGAACCACGAAATTAAATGTTCAACAAATGACAAATTGTCTATAGGCTTGTATGCAGACTTTGGAAAAAACACGAAGTCATATATCCACGAACATGTAAGTTTTCCCTTAATCCACGAAAATTGGTACCCATGAAAATAAATGAATCCACAGTATACAGAGTTTACAATTACAATATAGTATTATTTTTACAGACATGTAATATATTGTCGAGCCTGCGACTTTTGTTGCAGAAAGCTCGACATAGGGATAGTGATCCGGCAGCGGCGGCGTTAGCTAACTTCTTAAAAGCTTTATATTTTAGAAGGTGGAAGACCTGGATGCTTCATACTTTGTATATGGATGCCTCATGTTACGAAGTTTCCGTCAGTCACATGTCCAATGTCCTTGACCTCATTTTCATGGTTCAGTGACTACTTGAAAAAAAAGTTAACAATTTTTTGTAATGTTAAATTCTCTCTTATTATAAGTAGTAGGATAACTATATTTGGTATGTGCGTACCTTGCAAGGTCCTCATGCCTGTCCGACAGTTTTCACTTGACCTCGACCTCATTTCATGGATCAGTGAACAAGGTTAAGTTTTGGTGGTCAAGTCCATATCTCAGATACTATAAGCAATAGGTCTAGTATATTCGGTGTATGGAAGGACTGTAAGGTGTACATGTCCAACTGGCAGGTGTCATCTGACCTTGACCTCATTTTCATGGTTCAGTGGTTATAGTTAAGTTTTTGTGTTTTGGTCTGTTTTTCTTATATTGTATGCAATAGGTCTACTATATTTGGTGTATGGAATGATTGTAAGGTGTACATGTCTAGCTGGCAGGTGTCATCTGACCTTGACCTCGTTTTCATGGTTCAGTGGTCAAAGTTAAGTTTTTGAGTTTTGGTCTTTTTTTCTAATACTATATGCCATAGGTCAACTATATTTGGTGTATGGAAATATTTTATGATCTATATGTCAGTCTTGCAGGTTTTATATGACCTTAACTTCATTTTCACGGTTCATTGCTCAGTGTTAAGTTTTTGTGTTTTGGTCTGTTTTTCTTAAACTATAAGCAATAGGTCAACTATATTTGTTGTATGGAAGAATTGTTAACTGTACATGTCTGCCTGGCACGGTTCATCTGACCTTGACCTCATTTTCATGGTTCATTGGTCAATGTTTAGTTTTCTTGGTTAATGTTAAGTTTAGGTGACAGTTGTAATAAAGCTTTATATTTAGGACTATCAACATAATATCAATGATTAGTAAAGAAGGCGAGACATTTCAGCGTGTGCACTCTTGTGATATAAATAATATAGTTTTATATCTTTCTACATTATTTATTCTACTGGTTTAGTTCCAATTACTGTCATAAATTTACAGTTTTTCTTTAATTTATTCTCTGTAAGGAACTCAATTTGGAATTATTGTTGTAACAAATGAAGATCATCATTATATGACACCAAAACAGTTACAGTCAATTATGAAGTAAGCCACTAAATAACAGAATTTACACATTATCTTCATATTTTTGCTAATTTATTGCAAGAAAAGAAGACAATATATTAAATAAAAAACCAAACACATTATCAGTCTGGCAATTAATATGGAAGATCTTCTATCTTCTCTAAATCTGATTTTATCTAGGTGTATGTCACTTGAAATTAAAAGGTAGCACTGTATTGAAGAGGGGCATAGAGTTTAAGTTTGATACTATAAATCTTTTGAATTCCTTTGAAACAAGTTTGTATACTAAACAACCTTATGTATTGCTTTGTGTGTACCTGGTAAACAGTAAGTTTCAAAGTGAAGGACGTCATTAAGTGATGATGTCAGGTCCCTGCAATGTATCTTCCAACAATTTGCTTCAAAAACAGAAAACATAGCATTTCCCTGTCTTAATCTGATCAAACAAAACAGATTTTACAAATGAAATAAAAATATTTGTCTAACAGCAGTTTGGTGTATTTACACAACACTTACGTTATTGCATAAAATGCCAGGTGACGATAACTGGTACTGTAATTCAGAAATTATTGCGATGTTTTTATTAATGCGAATAATGTGACTGGGTGAGTATCGCAATAATAAGAACCTGATTCTGATACCTAATGCATATATCTGTATGCAACTTTTCCTGAAATCGCCAAAAAAATAATCTCGCATTTATGTTCATACTTCAAAAATTGCAATAATAAATGCATGCAATAAGTTCTGAATTTACAATAACTGACGGTAACTGGTCCATGACCAGTACTGACACCTATTAACTGTATTAATTCTAAAATCAAGAATATTATCATTTCTTCAGACAACCATATTTTGTTCAGAGGAAGCTTATGATATGTTATTGACAGCTTGTTATTGTCAAATGAAATTTCATTTAAGCTCACCTTACCCAAAGGGCCAATGTGAGCAATTGGATTATCACTTAGGTCCCCTCTTCATTTAATTGTTTGTTAATTTTTAACAAAAATGTTCTCCTCTGAAACTACCTGGCCAGTTGGAACAAAAGCTGCCTGAGGATCACCCTAAGCGTTTCTCGTTTTGGGTACAACTATTGCTAAAAGAAAAGAGAAAAATATGACAAAATTTCAGTGCACTAGTTTAGTTACAGAGTAGTTGATATTTTGTCTTATTTCCTGTGGAGGATGACTACATATTTAATTGTTTTAAACAAATAAAAAGGAAGAATAAAATTTGTTTTTATCCACTTGAAAATTTAAAATTTTAGGAAACCCCGCCATTCAAGTGTAGGAAAAATGGATAGTCTTCTTGAAGGAAAGCAGTATATCTCTGTTATTGGCAGTAATTTTGGTGAACAAAAAAATAAAACAGAACAAACTTTTGGAAGAGTAAACATTGAAGATAAATCTTTCTCTGAAGAAAGGGATGTGAAGCAAGATGACAGTGATGAAGAAGAAATTTATGTTTCTAAAATCTGGAAGACTGCTGCCATTACCAAGGTAAAAAAAGTTAACTTTGTGACCTTCTATTCTACTTTTCACTTTTGATATACTTAAATTATAAATCTTTTTGTATAGGAGTAATACCACCATTGTTTTCCCCCTCTTAGTCTTTGTTAACTTGTTACCCCCTATTCTACTTTTCACTTTTGATATACTTAAATTATAAATCTTTTTGTATAGGATTAATACCACCTTTGCTTTCCCCCTATTAGTCTTTGTTAAATTTGCATTTTTCAAAAAATTGGGCAGAATTTATTTTTGTTTCAAATAAAGAAATACTTGGCACGAGTAAAGTTTTATCCTGTCCAGTACTACAGTGAAAATTTCACATCACATTTCATTGCATATAAGATAGTAACCATCACCAGAAGTAAACCAATCCAATTTTCACCCTTTTTTTTCCTGTTTACAAGCTTTAGTAGCCATGTCACCTCAAGTTTCCAAAATATTTTATAGAAACACCAAATAAAAAAATAATGGTGCTTTGATACAGCCAAGATGTATGTTTATGACTCAGAAATGTTTTTTTCTGCAATGAAACGCAGGGTTAATTTCCTACAACTGTCAAATTCAAGGGAATATTTTTTTTCGATCCTATTTTATATGAAACTGGATCTGATGTATTATGATTCGGCGGTATTACACATATACAGAATCTATATACAATTTGTGTATAAGTGGTAGACTGATGTACTTAATTAATTTTAATTTAATATGGAAGTTAATTAATTTTAATTTAATATGCAAGTTATCAATTGCATTTGGTTACCTTTAATGATTGGTAAATTTTTTTACTCTATCATTTCATCAGAACACTTCGAGATCATATCTTCTGTGGCAACACAAATATAATAATAAATGAAATCTATTTACAGCCCTTTCCCACAAAAAAAAAAAAAATAAATTAGACCATACTTTCAGTGACATTTTTCTCAGTAAATATATATCTTAGTGTCTTAGTATTTGACACTTTGTTTCATCAAGATCTGATAGTTACTATGTGTTCCAATGTTCATACATATGGAAATTTTTCCTGTTTACTGATTTTATTAATTTATATGATTCGTTGTGAATATAACAAAATGTCAATTGTTTCTCAACAATTACCCATCGTAAGATTTTGATATTTCAAATTGACCTCCAACAGGGTTCACTGTATTCTTGAACATATTTTATATATATCTGTCCCTGAAAAATTTGCAGTTGATGATTTTTATTATTGTCCTCTTTCTATTTTCCCTCTTTTTAAGCATAACTTCTTCTTGTGTGTCTAATCTTATATGCATTATCAAGTGTAATGAATGATAAAAACATTTAATTCAATTTTGTGCTGCTATTCAGACTATTTAATTTTGTTAAGAGTATAAGAAAGATTATCTCAATATATCTCTGCCTTTTCATTCCAGTATTGGTTTTGTTTAAATATTGACAGTAGAGCAGCAATTGTTAGTGTCATTTTAAGAAAGTTTGCACATTTTTTCCAGTTCTTTCTTAAGGCATCACTAGATTAACTAGGATGTACAGCCATCTTCACCACTTATTCTGACAAACAAATGGAAGTTTTTAACGACCTTGACTGGCTATACAGCCCTTGCACGGTCGGACCACTTATTCTGCTTACATTAAAAATAGTTCCCATACTTCCCATATCTATGTAAACATTCACAAATAAACTGAAAATTTGGGTTATATCTTTACAGCTGTTATACACAAGTATGTATGTCTTATATTGTTTTTCTCATGTTGCTTGCTTGTTTGATTGTTGTTATTATTAAAGTCAGTGTACTGATACAATACAATTCAGATTTATATTTGTCATAATCAATTGAGAATTAAAGACAAAGGTTTGATATGAAATTCTCCTCTTACATGTCAATCTTAATAACAAAACTACCAGACTAACATAATTTAGTGTAACATCCCTGATCTTATTACTGTACAATTATAACAAGATAACTTCTTGTATGTGTTAATACATATATAAAAATAGAAATGTAAATGCTCATAGGCAACAACTTTAAATGGAGATAGAGGAAAAAATGTACGTATTTGCTGATCAGATGTCCACTTTCACAATATGAAACAAATATATATGTAAATTAAATGTTTTAGGTTCAGCTACCAAAAGTAAGAGAAACAGATAATTTAAAGAATTTAAGCGATATATCTGAAGAAAGTGTACTGTCACACATTGAAAAGAGATATAAAGATGACCAGATATATGTAAGTTCAGTAGGTAGTATAAAGATGTCCAGGTATATTGAAGTTCAATAATAGGAATAAAGATGCTAGGTAAACGTAAGTTCAGATAGATGGATATAGATGGCCTCTTTTGTGAACCAAAAGATGACAGTCACTTAAAGGATGCATCTAGGTGATTATAGCAGCCTTCCACAAAAAATAAGTCATTCTGTACTATATTTCACACTTAATTGATTTCATAATAATTTGTAAGAAGTTTAAGTTTGTTTCTTGGATAGAATGTGACTTACATTTCAGTCCTTTTAACACTGAAATTAGATTTTAAATTGATAAAAGTTTTAATGATTACAAAAAGTTGATTGAACCAATTATGTAACTGTAGCTTACCTATGTTTTTGTCTGTCATCAGGTAAAAAAGTTATGAGATGTTATCATTTTCAGTAATGAATTTATATACAATTTAATAGCAATTTTTTATTTCAGACAAAGATAGGTGATGTACTGCTTGCTGTCAATCCATTCAAAGAACTGTCAGTATATGCCAAACAGGTACTTGTGATATAAGCACTCAGTTTTTTTAGAAATACATTTTTTAAGTAAATACATCTAATTAATATATTTTTTATGATACTGTTTTGTATTTTTAATGAACAATACGATTATCGTTCAACATTTTACTTCATTTTGTACATGAATGTGTTGCTCATTGGAAACATCTTTGTAAATATTGTTACAAATAGTCAGGAAATTTTAGAACAAGAGTTTTCTGGAAAAATAAGAAGATACCAAGGGAGCAATCAAAAAGCACATGTTTTAAAATAAAAACAGGCAACATCAAGGTCAAAAGACATAAACAAGTCTGATATCTGTGTCTGGATCCAATATTGCAATGGTTCCTTTAATGGCATACGATACAGTTACAGGGGAGGTAATGACTTTGCTAACTTGAAATATTATTTTTCACAGCGTCAAACTGTGACAAATTGGGAAAAGATGCATTTTCGACTGATTTTTATACGCTCGTTTACGGGACGTATTATGGTATACCGTCTGTCCGTCCATCCGTCCGTCCGTCGTCAACATGTCGGACATTAATTCAAAAACGCTTTAACCAATATGCATGAAACTTTGGTGAAATGTTTATATCTATTGACATGAGCTCCCTTTCGTTTTTTATAAATTTGAGATGTACCGTTTCCTAGTTTTTGGGTTTTATTCATTAAAAATGGGGGGATTTTCCAGTTTTCGGACAATAACTCAAAAACAATTTCACCAATTTGTATGAAACTTTTGTGAATTGTTTATATCTATTGATGTGAGCTCCCTTTTGTTTTTTATAAATTTCAGATTTACCGTTTCCAAGTTTTGGGGTTTTATTCATTAAAAAAGGGGGGATTTTCCAGTTTTCAGACAATAACTCAAAAACAAATTCACCAATTTGCATGAAACTTTTGTGAATTGTTTATATTTATTGACGTGAGCTCCCTTTTGTTTTTTATAAATTTCAGATTTACCGTTTCAGAGTTTTTGGGGTTTTATTCATTTAAAAAAAGGGAGATTTTCCAGTTTTCAGACAATAACTCAAAAACAATTTCATCAATTTGCAAGAAACTATGATGAATTGTTTATTTCTATCGACATGAGCTCCCTTTTGATTTTTATAAATTTTAGACTATATGTTTCCGATTTATGGGGTTTTATTCATTACAAAAAGGGGGATTTTCCAGTTTTCGGACAATAACTCAAAAATGCTTTCAGCATTTTTTATGAAACTTTGGTAAATTGTTTTTATCTATTTTTGTAAGCTCCCTTTTGATTTTTATAAATTTTCGAATTTAGGTTTCCGAGTTATAAGATTTTATTTGTTTATAGTCTGACAACAGATTTACTAAGCATTGCACAACAGCACAGTGTATTGCACAACAGCAAGAAATCTTTAATTGAATATAAATTCAATTCATATAACCAATTTCAAGTTCTTTGACTTCATTTATTCAGAAACCTATAATATGTCAAATATTTAATTACAATCCAAATTCAGACCTGTATCAAGCTTGAATATTGTGTCCATTTTTGCCCCAACTGTTCAGGGTTGGACCTCTGCGGGCGTATCCAGCTGCGCTCAGCGAAGCAGTTTATTATCATTCAGACTGATTTAACTTGAAAACAAGTTCATGGATCCCTCTTTTTAAAAATGACTTTTGGCTTGATTATGTATGAAGATTCTTTGTGCCAATTTTTATGAACAAATCCTTGATGAAATTTTTTTGAATTAGATAAATATACACCAAAAAATGCCGTTCTTTGACTAAAATCATGAAAATGTGATAGAAATGAATAATTTCCACAGAATTGTTACACAAATTCAAAGCACACTTATGTAGAGAAGATATTCCAGATGCTTTTATAAAAATCCACTTGCATAATTTTTTTGGAAACAAAAAAGCTAAGTATGTCTTTCCAAAGGACAGAAATGTCCAAGAAACCAAAATTTCCAGTAAATGTCTGAAATTTCAACCCCATTTATTTCTAAAAGTAGCACATGAAGGTATATTCTTTATTACATATCTGAAATGACTAGGTGAAAAATAGCTTGTATGCAAACTTTCGTCAAAAATTCACCGTGGGATCAAAACTGTATCGTATGGGCTGAAGGGAAAGACTAGCAGTCCACCACTTATTTTCATTTCAAAAAAGGATTATTTGAGGTCAGTTTGTTTGATTACAGCCCGAATCAAACCAAAGACTTTAAAATTGGTATTTTATACTTTTCCTCCAAGTACTAGGCATTTAATGGTAAGATCAGAGTGATAATATTGTGTCTTCATGTGGACTGAACTCCCACATTTAAAATCAGACTTAGTGTGTTGGTGTAGTATAAAGAAGGATATATATTCATATCTCATTTACACATTATTGTCCTTAATATACATGTGATACTTGCTGCTTCTTGTTAAGCGACCATTAATCAAACATTCAATCCTTTTTCTATTGTAGGTTTCTACTCAGTATCACAAGACAGGAGATTTAACCTCCCTACCTCCTCATCTTTATTCTACAGCTGAGGAGGCATATGGTTTAATGGTGAAGGATAAAACCTCTCAGTGCTGTGTCATCAGTGGTGAAAGTGGAGCAGGAAAATCTGAAACATGTAAACTATTGGTCCAACATCTTGCTAGGGTAACTGGCAGTGAAGAAGCAAACTTGAATAACAAAATTAATCAGGTAATTATACAATTATAGTTACTGGCAATGAGGTATCTGTTTTCGCAAAAATGAAAATTTGCATTAAAATGTTGATAGCACTACTTCTATGTCAGTATTTCCTGAAATTGCAATAAATAATCTCACCTTTGTGTCTATTGTTCAATAATTGTAATAATAAATCTCACCTTTGTGTCTATTGTACAACAATCTATAATACTAAAATAACGAAGTCCAATTTGTAAGCCGGCATGACGTAAAAACGACGAATCAAAGAATTCAACTTTATATATAACTAATATACAACAATAGTGTAGATTAAAAATTACACCATTACAGGCCCTTTTGTTTTCCACATAATTAATATTACCAGTAATTAACAAGTTGTGGGTCGATTCCGATACAGATACCAATAGTATATGTCACATGTAATTTCCGGTTGTAGTATGTATATGTGTCATGTATCTTCCTCCTTTAATAGGAGCACAACCATGGGTTATAATGTTAAGGAGGCCATTTAACACACTGTATCGGTACAGATTTAATGTGTGCCAACCCAGTTTCCCAGTCTGGCCATCATCAAAATATAAAAAATGAAAAATATAAAAACATGCAGGAAACCAGGACGGGTTCAAACAAAAAGGTTTTGAAACCAGAAAAAACTGTGCACATTGCAAATAGCATGACTTTATCAGATGACAATGCATGTACTAAAAATTGCTAAAATTAGACATAGGCACTTTTATTCAGTCACCGACCCGGGATGCCGCGGGTTTGTTCTAGTTGTAATAATTAATCTCACCTTTGTGTCTATTGTTCAACAATTGTAATAACTAATCTCACCTTTGTGTCTATTGTTCAACAATTGTAATAATAAATCTCACCTTTGTGTCTATTGTTCAACAATTGTAATAATAAATCTCATCTTTGAGTCTATTGTTCAACAATTGTAATAATAAATCTCGTCTTTGTGTCTATTATTCAACAATTGCAATAATAAATCTCACCTTTGTGTCTTTTGTTCAACAATTGTAATAACTAATCTCACCTTTGTATCTTTTGTTCAACAATTGTAATAATAAATCTCCCCTATGTGTCTTTTGTTCAATAATTGTAATAATAAATCTCACCTTTGTGTCTTTTGTTCAACAATTGTAATAACTAATCTCACCTTTGTGTCTTTTGTTCAACAATTGTAATAACTAATCTCACCTTTGTATCTTTTGTTCAACAATTGTAATAATAAATCTCCCCTATGTGTCTTTTGTTCAACAATTGTAATAATAAATCTCACCTTTGTGTCTTTTGTTCAACAATTGTCATAACTAATCTCACCTTTGTGTCTTTTGTTCAACAATTGTCATAACTAATCTCACCTTTGTATCTTTTGTTCAACAATTGTCATAACTAATCTCACCTTTGTGTCTATTGTTCAACAATTGTCATAACTAATCTCACCTTTGTGCCTTTTGTTCAACAATTGTAATAATAAATCTCCCCTTTGTGTCTTTTGTTCAACAATTGCAATAATTATTCTCACCTATGTGTCTTTTGTTCAACAATTGTAATAACTAATCTCACCTTTGTGTCTATTGTTAAACAATTGTAATAACTAATATCACCTTTGTGTCTATTGATCAACAATTGTAATAACTGATCTCAACTTTGTGTCTATTGTTCAACAATTGTAATAACTAATCTCCCCTTTGTGTCTTTTGTTCAACAATTGCAATAATTAATTTCACCTTTGTGTCTTTTGTTCAACAATTGTAATAACTAATCTCACCTTTGTATCTATTGTTCAACAATTGTCATAACTAATCTCACCTTTGTATCTATTGTTCAACAATTGTAATAATAAATCTCACCTTTGTGTCTATTGTTCAACAATTGCAATAACTAATCTCACCTTTGTGTCTATTGTTCAACAATTGTAATAATAAATCTCACCTTTGTGTCTTTTGTTCAACAATTGTGATAACTAATCTCACCTTTTAGATCTATTGTTCAACAATTGCAATTATAAATACACACAAACATTTCTTAATTTAAATCATAGTATATTTAATCACAGGAATAATACAGTTTGTTGATTGAAAATTGATTGCAAATGACTGCAAGTACAATTTAAATATGATCTTGATGTTTTAGGTGAATCCTTTGTTAGAAGCTTTTGGGAATGCACAGACAATGATAAATGATAATTCTAGTCGCTTTGCTAAATTTATTGAATTGATGTTTAGTCAGCAGGGAAAATTGGTTGGAGGTAAGTATTCTGTAAACAATTGATATTTGATGGCTAACTTGACAGTTACATATTAAATATATTTTCCATGCTCCTATACAACTTTATAAGTATAGTTAAAATATTTTTTGTTGTTCCCTTATGCTTAAATAGTTTTTGTTGTTCCCTTATGCTTAAATGCATTCACATTTAAGGACAATTTTATATTGTATAGCGATTTTTTATCAATTTGCTAGTGTGTAAAATGTGGATGTGGGACTTCTAATTTTTCAATAAAAATACAAAATTTACACAAAATTTCAACAAAATGAATAAAAGATATGTGGTATCTGTATAAATGAGATGAGACCAAACAGGATATTGTAACAAAAAATGAATAACTATGAATTATTTGTATGTTTATGATATCTTTCTTCTGCAGCCAAATTAACAGAGTTTTTGTTGGAGAAGTCTCGTGTTGTCTACCAGAATGAAGGCGAAAGAAATTTTCATATATTTTATTGGATGTTTTCTGGACTAACACCAGAAGAATTTAATTTATTTCATCTGCACTCTGTTAATGCTCATAGGTAAAGTTGGCTTATCTTAAATGTGAAGGTCAGAGTAAAAAAACATTTTTATACGCCCCTTTACAGGACATTTTTTGGTATAAAGTTGTCCGTCCGTCCATCTGTTGTCAACATGTCGGACAATAACTTAAAAATGCTTTAACCAATTTGCATGAAACTTTATTGAATTGTTTATATCTATTGACGTACGCTCCCTTTCGATTTTTATAAATTTTAGATTTTACGTTTCCGTGTTATTGGGTTTTATTCATTAAAGAGGGGGATATTCCAGTTTTTGATGCTTTGAGCAGTTTTAATGAGACTTTGGTGACTGGTTTATATCTATTAAAATAAGCTCCCTTTAGTTTTTTTTATAAAATTCTGATATGACATTGAGGAGTTATGGAACTTTATCTGTTGAAAAAGCGAGGGGCGTATCTTGCGCTCATGGTGCAGCTCTTTATTGTGTGTGGTGCAAAAGCTCTCATTTTTAAATTGATGTCAAATATAAGCAGTGGTCTAGCTAGCCCAAAATATAAGGGCACCGCACCCCTGGTGCCCTGAGCAGTGCCCTTCTTCCCTGACACCCTGTTCCAAGAGGCTCTTGTGCCATTTTTTGTAAATTTAAATCTTTGAGTTATAAATTGTATTTGCATATTTTGTCCAGGAATATTTTATGCATTTAAGCATCAATTTATGCTTCTGGCAAAAGGAAAAAAATTAAATATGCAGATTGGGATTTAAATAAACACATGTTTATATTGACATAATATGTCTTTAAAATAATGACCATTTCTGGACTCTTAACATTGAACAACAGAAGCCCATAGCATTCATATGGCGACAAGCAACCAAACTTTACTTTTACATAGTTTTATAATTATTGATTAAAAGTTGAAGTAGTAATGAACAAAGTTTTATTTTACAGATATGTAAGAAGTAGAGTTGAAATGACACATCTCCAAAATAAAGAAAACAAAGAGAAGTTCTGGGACCTTAAAAAATGTCTTGGCTTTATTGGATTTTCTGCAGATGTAAGTTTGTTGTGAGAAAGCCTATGTTTTTGTAGCATTTTTAGAAATAGTTAAATTACAATTATAAGTCTGTTGTGGCAGATCTAGTAAAATACTAGGAAGGAAATAATGTATGTATACATTGAAAAATGTGCATCTTACTCTGTAAACTCACATTTGTAGAATTTTTGCAGATTTTCTAGTGGGTGAAACATTAAATTTCTCAATGAAATCTGCTTCTGCTTCAGTTTTCCTAAACCCTTCCAACTTTCTAAAATGTTTATATAACCTTTAACATGTTTAAGGATGAGCTCCTCTCTGTTTTTACACGTTAGAGGATATTTTCAGATTTTCCAAATGGTGAGTCCTTTCAGGTACAAAGGGAATCCATTTTACATGATAAGTTCAACCTCTAGAGTCTCTGGAATATTTGTTTCTACATTGAAAATGTGCATTTTACTTGAGTATACATTTGGAGATTTTTTTGATTTGCAAGATGAGTCAATTTCCTGCAGCATTTTCAATGGAAGATACCAATTTTTATACCCCATGCAAATTTTTTGCAAAGGGTATAATGTTTTTGACCTGTCCGTCCGTCAGTCCTGTTTCTTGTCATCGCAACTCCTCTCAAACCACACAACAGAATTTCATGAAACCTTTTCAGATAATAAGGACATACTATGTAGATGTGCATATCGACAGGAATTTACGAATCAATTTTTTTCCCAGGAGTTACGCCCCTTTGAACTTATTTGCCCAATATACTACTGCAACCTTTTGTCATCGCAACTCCTCTGAAACCACAACACAGAGTTTCATGAAATTTTGTAGATAATAAGGACATATTATGTAGATGTGCATATCGACAGGAAATTACGATTCAATTTTTTTCAAGGAGTTGCGCCCCTTTGAACTTATTTGCTTTAATGTACTACTGCAACAGTTTGTCATCGCAACTCCTCTGAAACCACACAACAGAATTTCATGAAACCTTTTTAGATAATAAGGACATACTATGTAGATGTGCATATCGACAGGAAATTACGATTCAATTTTTTTTCTAGGAGTTACCCCCCTTTGAACTTATTTGCTTCAATGTACTTCTGCAACAGTTTGTCATCGCAACTCCTCTGAAACCACACAACAGAATTTCATGAAACTTTGTAGATAATAAGGGCATACTATGTGGATGTGCATATTGACAGGAAATTATGATTCAATTTTTTTTTCTTACACTTATTTTATTTCTCCAATGACAATGTGGGGACGTGGTGTATGTGAGCGCGCTCACTAAGGTTCTTTAATTGATGATTTTTTTTTGGGGGGGGGGGAGGGTTAGGGGATATTTTTCTAATGCCTTTTGGTAGATATCAGTACAAATTACCTTCCTTACACACATTTAAATAGACCTCCTCCCTAAGATGTATCAAATACTAGTGTCATCACAATTTACATGTCCTTTCAAACTATAAATCATAGACATTCCATCTCTGTCATTTGAGACTTGATACAATGTGAAAATTGGGTAAACAGCAACAATAACATCATTAAGGTATAAATATTTTACAAGTGACCATGGTTCTAGTAAATCATATTTCGGTTGTGCTCTACAAGTTTTATTCTTACGTTTCATTCAGATGTTGTTTCATCTGTTGAAGTACCAATTATATGTTTGTTTACTGGTTTGAGTACTCTTTTAATGTTTGTTTACCTGTCAAAGTATTGTTTAGAAATTTATTTACCTTTTGCAGTACCATTTAATATTTGTTTGTTTGTCATAGAATTATTTAGATGCATGTTCAACTGTTGTAGTACCCTTTAAATGTTTATTAAGCTGTTGTGGTATCATTTAGATTCTATTTAGAAGTTTGTACACCTTTTGTATAATAGTTAACCTATTGTTGTACAATTTAGATATTTATAGGTTTGAAAGATACCAGAGACAAACTTTATTATTGATTGACTGTTTTTAATCTAGGCCTATGTTTCTTAATAACATTTTATATATTTTATGTTTTTTTATTACTTTTTGCGACAATTAATTTGAATTATTAAAACATTTTCTTATTTCTTTTTGTAGGATATTCAGAATTTACTGGTGACCTTGGCTGCAGTAATCCATATAGGTGATATTACCTTCTTTCCCCATAGTAACACAGATGCTGCTACTATTGCAAATGAAAGCAAAGTTGAAGAAGGTAATGTAAATTTAGTTAATACTTTTGATTCACAGAAATAGTGTGAATCCAAATTTTAATGGTTTAATCTTACTTGCATCTTGCAAATTAATGAGTTAAGCACCAACGAAACCTAAATTTTGAGAAGTATTTTTTTTTTGGGGGCATTATTTCTCCTTTGGAATGTCTTGGAAATAGATGGAATCCTACACAAGTTGTCTGCTTTATGCAACTGGATGTGCATTTCACTTTTTATGAAAGTCATGTACCTTGTAATCAATTTCGAATTAAAAGCTAGTTTTGCATTCTCTTTATTGTTATATTATTGGTCTTCCTTCTGATCATGTTTTCCTGAGAGAGACCTTTGCAGACATGCCAATTTCTAGTGAGGAGTGAATAATATTAGGTATGCATTTATACAACTCATATCACACCAATTACATAGAGATTGTTTAATCCTGCAAAAACTCCTGCAGTTACGGTCCATTGATTTTAAAAATTTTGCACATTGTTTTACATTTCAAATTTGTGACATACTCATAATATGACTTTGGGAAAAGTCTAGGGTTTAAGGAAATTGCTATAAACAGCATTTATATGTGATTGGAATTATAAGAATTAAACATTCATTTAAAGATATTTAAAGGAACTTGTCAACATACTTCAGAACTTAATTTAACTTGTGAGCTTCTTACCCATTGTCAAATTTAGGAAAAAAACTTTATATTTTTGTTTTTAGTTTCTAGTTTGACTTTGATTTTTAAGGATATGTCATAACTAATGAGACTGATTAAAATGTTTGACATTCTGTGACATTTTTATAATTACAGTTTCCTCCATGCTTGATGTATCACCAGAGGAACTCAGTTCTGCCTTAGTAGCAGAGTATACAACAACTAGAGGTATGTTATTGTTAATATTCTGCCTTAGTAGCAGTGTATACAACAACAAGAGGTATGTTATTGTGAATATTCTGCCTTAGTAGCAGAGTATACAACAACAAGAGGTATGTTATTGTGAATATTCTGCCTTAGTAGCAGAGTATACAACAACAAGAGATGGTATTATGAATGTTCTGCCTTAGTAGCAGAGTAAACAACAACAAGAGGTATGTTATTGTAAATGTTCTGCCTTAGTAGCAGAGTATACAACAACAAGAGGTATGTTATTGTGAATGTTCTGTCTTAGTAGCAGAGTATACAACAATAAGAGGTATGTTATTGTAAATGTTCTGCCTTAGTAGCAGAGTATACAACAACAAGAGGTATGTTATTGTAAATGTTCTGCCTTAGTAGCAGTGTATACAACAACAAAAAATATGTTATTGTGAATGTTCTGGCTTAGTAGCAGAATATACAATAGCAAGAGGTATGTTATTATGAATTACCTGCGGTTTCTACAGTCCAACAAGGTATATAAACTTACTGAAGTGTGCTTAATCATGTTTATAATTAATTTTTGTAAATAATTAGCTTAGTTTTGTTATGTTGTTGTTGCTTGCATTTGGTTTGTGGTTTAATTATCCCACTTGGCCCAAATGGCCATGTGAGCTATTTCCATCACTTGGCGTCCATCGTTGTTGTACATAGTCATAAGCTTTTTCAAAGATCTTCTCCTCTGAAACCACTGAGTCAATTTCAACCAAACATAGGGGAATGATACCTTTTGTATTTAGTATAAAGGTGGTGTTTTTTATTCCAGTCAGTCTATGAATATGGCCGTCATAGCTAGAAATAGAACATAGGGGTAATATGCAGTTTTTATACGACCGCAAAAAAATTTTTGTGGTCGTATATTGGTATGACGTTGGCATCGTCAACGTCGTCTTCGTCGTTGTCGTCGTCGTCATCTTCGTCGTCATCCGAAGGCACATTAGTTTTCGCATTCTAACTTTTGTTTAAGTGAATGGATCTCTATGAAATTTTACCATAAGGTTCAATACCACAAAAGAAAGGTTGGGATAGATTTTTGGGGTTATGGTACCAACAGTTAAGGAATTAGGGGCCAAAAAGGGGCCAAAAATAAGTATTTTTGTAACTTCCAGACATAACTTGTGTGTTAGGCTATGGATCTCGCTGACATTGTACCACAAGGTTCCATATCACAAAGGGAATGCTGGGATTGATTTTGGGGGTAATTGCCTCCAAATTTTTGGAATTAGGGGCCAAAAAAGGGGCAAAAAACAAGCATTTTTCTAGTTTCATGACAATAACTTGTGTGTAAGTGTATGGATCTTTATGAAATTGTACTGCAAGGTTCCATATCACAAAGGGAAAGCTGGAATTGAGTTTGGGGGTAATTGCCCATAACGTTTAGGAATAAGGGGCAAAAAAGGGCCGAAAATAAGCATTTTTCTAGTTTCCAGACAATAACTTGTGTTCAAGTGTATGGATCTCTCTGAAATTGTACTGCAAGGTACGTATACCATACCACAAAGAGAAGGCTGGGATTGATTTTGGAGGTAATTGCCTCAGAATTTTAGGAATTAGGGGCAAAAAGGGGGCAAAAAAACAAGCATTTTTCTAGTTTCAGGACAAGAACTTGTGTGTAAGTGTATAGATCTTTATGAAATTGTACTACATGGTTCCATATCACAAAGGGAAAGCTGGGTTTGAGTTTGGGGGTAATTGCCCTAAACATTTAGGAATTTGGGGCCAAAAAGGGGCCAAAAAACAAGCATTTTTCTAGTTTCCAGACAATGACTTGTGTTCAAGTGTATGAATCTCTCTGAAATTGTACTGCAAGGTACCATACCACAAAGGGAAGGCTGGGATTGAGTTTGTTGGTGATGAATCATAAGGGGGGGTTCAAAAAATTAGGGCGGGGGGGGTTTCCTTTTTATACGACCGCAAACAAATTTTTGTGGTCGTATATTGGTATGACGTTGGCGTCGTCGTCATCGTCTGGCGTCGTCGTCGTCGTCCGAAGACACATTAGTTTTCGCACTCTAACTTTAGTTTAAGTGAATGGATCTCAATGAAATTTTACCATAAGGTTCAATACCACAAAAGGAAGGTGGGGATTGATTTTGGGTGTTGGTACCAGCAGTTAAGGAATTAGGGGCCAAAAAGGGGCCAAAAATAAGCATTTTTGTAACTTCCAGACATAACTTGTGTGTAAGTGTATGGATCTCTCTGACATTGTACCACAAGGTTCCATATCACAAAGGGAATGCTGGGATTTATTTTGGGGGTAATTGCCTCCAAATTTTAGGAATTGGGGACAAAAAAGGGGCAAAAAACAAGCATTTTTCTAGTTTCATGACAATAACTTGTGTGTAAGTCTATGGATCTCTCTGACATTGTATCACAAGGTTCCATATCACAAAGGGAATGCTGGGATTGATTTTGGGGGTAATTGCCTCCAAATTTTAGGAATTAGGGGCCAAAAAGGGGCAAAAAACAAGCATTTTTCTAGTTTCATGACAATAACTTGTGTGTAAGTGTATGGATCTTTATGAAATTGTACTACAAGGTTCCATATCACAAAGGGAAAGCTGGAATTGAGTTTGGGGGTAATTGCCCAAAAAGTTTAGGAATAAGGGGCCAAAAAGGGGCAAAAATAAGCATTTTTCTAGTTTCCAGTCAATAACTAATTGTGTTCAAGTGTATGGATCTCTCTGAAATTGTACTGCAAGGTACCATACCACAAAGGGAAGGCTGGGATTGATTTTGGGGGTAACTCCCTCAAAATTTTAGTAATTAGGGGCCATAAAAGGGCAAAAAACAAGCTTTTTTCTAGTTCCAGGACAATAACTTGTGTGTAAGTGTATGGCTCTTTATGAAATTGTACTGCAAGGTTCCATATTACAAAGGGAAAGCTGGGTTTGAGTTTGGGGGTAATTGCCCTAAACGTTTAGGAATTTGGGGCCAAAAAGGGGCCAAAAAACAAGCATTTTTCTAGTTTCCAGACAATAACTTATGTTCAAGTGTATGGATCTCTCTGAAATTGTACTGCAAGGTACCATACCACAAAGGGAAGGCTGGGATTGAGTTTTGGGGTGATGAATCATAAGGGGGTTCAAAATATTTTGATTTTTTTCTTAAAATTTTCCATTTTAAATTGGTTATTCCTGATTTATATATAAAAGCAAATAATAATGATATGGTTTGAATAGGTAAATTAAAATTTTTTAAGTTCTTAGACCACTTTCATTCTGTGTCAGAAACCTATGCTGTGTCAAATATTTAATTACAATCCAAATTCAGTGCTGAATCAAGCTTGAATGTTGTGTCCATACTTACCCCAACTGTTCAGGGTTCGACCTCTGCGGTCGTATCAAGCTGCACCCCAGCGGAGCATTTTATTTTTCTTTAAAATTTTCCATTTTAAATTGGTTATTTCTGATTTATATATAAAAGCAAATAATAATGATTAAAATTTTTTAAGTTCTTAGACCACATTCATTCTGTGTCAGAAACCTATGCTGTGTCAAATACTTTATCACAATCCAAATTTAGTGCTGTATCAAGCTTGAATGTTGTGTCCATACTTGCCCCAACTGTTCAAGGTTCGACCTCTGCGGTCGTATCAAGCTGCGCCCAGTGGAGCATTTTATTTGACTTATATCTCAAAAACTAAGGCAGTTAGAGTAAAACTGACAAAAAATTATGAGCAAGTAGTTTTTGTCGAGCCTGCGACTTTTGTTGCAGAAAGTTTGACATAAGGATAGTGATCTGGCGGCGGCTATGGCGGCGGCTACGGCGACAGCGTTAGCTAACTTCTTAAAAGCTTTATATTTTCCAAGGTGGAAGACCTGGATGCTTCATACTTTGTATATAGATGCCTTATATTATGAAGTTTCCATCTGTCGTATGTCCATTGTTCTTGACCTCATTTTCATGGTTCAGTAACTACTTGAAAAAAAAGTTAAGATTTTTTGTAAAGTTAATTTCTCTCTTATTATGAGTAATAGGATACCTATATTTAATATGTGCCCGTCAGACAGTTTTCATCTGACCTCGACCTCATTTAATGGATCAGTGAACAAGGTTAAGTTTTCCGGGTCAAGTCCATATATCAGATAATATAAGCAATAGGTCTTCTATATTTGGTGTATGGAATGATTGTAAGGTGTACATGTCCAACTGGCAGGTGTCATCTGACCTTGACCTCATTTTCATGGTTCAGTGGTTAAAGTTAAGTTTTTGTGTTTTGGTCTTTTTTTCTAATACTATATGCAATAGGTCAACTATATTTGGTGTATGGAAATATTTTACAATGTACATGTCAGTCTGGCAGGTTTTATATGACCTTGTCCTCATTTTCACAGTTCATATCTCAGTGTTTAGTTTTTGTGTTTTGGTCTGTTTTTCTTAAACTATAACCAATAGGTCAACTATATTTGTTGTATGGAATGATTGTAAGGTGTATATGTCTGTCTGGCAGGTATCTGACCTTGACCTCATTTTCATGGTTCATTGGTCAATGTTAAGTTTTCATGGTTAAGTTTGTTTCTTAGAAACTATAAGCAATAGGTCAACTATATTTGGTGTATTGAATGATTGTAAGGTGTACATGTATTTCTGGTTTGGTTTATCTGACCTTGACCTCATTTTCTTGGATCATGTTAAGTTTATGTGATACTTTTAGTAAAGCTTTATAGTTAGGACTATCAACATAAAATCAATGGTCAGTAAAGAAGGCAAGACATTCAGCGTGTGCACTCTTGTTTGCAAAAACTATGATAAATAGAAGGAAACTTTACATGGCAAAAATGTTTAGCATAGTAAGACCTACAAATAAATCAACATGACTGAAATCGTCAATTAAACCCTTGTAGGAGTTTTTGGCCTTGAAAGATGATATTTATCTTTTTTTTAATTTTTTTGAAGAAAATTTGATAGATTGAGAGAAAATTTACATGGCAAAAATGTTCAGCATAGTAAGACCTACAAATAAATCAACATGACTGAAATTGTCAATTAAACGTTATAGGAATTATTAGTTTTTTGCAGGAACTATAACAGACAGAGAGATGACTGAAATCCTCAGTTGATCCCTTATAGAAGTTATTGCCCTTGAAAGTTTATTTTACCAAATCTTTTAGTTGTATGCAGAAACTATGATAGGGAGAAACATGAAATAACAAAAATGTTCAGAAAAGTAAGACCTACAAATAAGTCAAGACCTAAAAAATAAGATGTGACCAAAATATTCAATTAATCCTTTATAGCAGTTATTGCCCTTGAAAAATGATTTCTACCTTTTTTTTTTTTTTTTTGCATTTACTGTGATAGATAAAGACTAAATTTAAATGGCATGTTAAAACATGCATTAATATACATTATACATCAAAATAATCATTGATGCAAGATCTACACAAAACATTCCAGGTGAGCGATTGAGGCTCCTAGGAGTCTCTTGTTTTTAGAAGCATGCTATTTTCATATTAATCAGTGGTTGGTAATTTCCAGAAAAATACTACAATTCTTTATATGCTGGTTTGAGATTTTTTGTTTTAATTTTTGAAGTATATATAATAGACTGAATAAATATCTTATAATTGTTTGAATAATTAAAATACACTTCTTTTTTATTTGAATAAAAGCATTGAACAGAGGCTTACTAATTCTGTTTTTTGTTTATTTTGTTTGCATGTGAATGTGGTTTGCATGTTGTAGGTGAACAGATAAAAAAAGACCGAACTGTACAACAAGCATCTGATTGTCGTGATGCTCTTGCCAAAGCTATTTATAGCCGTTTGTTTAGTTGGATTGTTAATGGCATAAACCAACTAGTTGAACCAACATATTACAGGTACAACTATTGATTATTTTATCACTTAACCTTTAGTCTTTAGGATTGGAAAATGAAAGACGAGCTCAATTTCCAATTTGAATGAATAAATGAGGATTGCTGTTTACAACAACAAAAAATAATAAGATAGTTTAAAGATGCTCACAAAAATATGTACACGAGTAAGGAAAATTCAGAAATAGCAAATATATTGAACCTGGATTAGGCAATAAAAAGTTTTGTCATGTATTACAATTATTATGATGAGAAGCCCTTAAATATCCAATTTTTTAATGTAATGAAGTGATATAAACCTGTTTAGATAAATGAGAAAATAACAAATGTTTTTATGTGTACATGACATGTTAGAAAAAGAAGGAATTTTGGTCAAGTAGTATCATCTTGGCCCTGAAATTAAATTCCATTTTTTCAGGTAAAAACACATTTCTTGAACGTAATTTATCAGGATTGTCCAAACTAAAGCATGAACTTTATTTATGCATAACTGTGTTTTGAAAAGCATGCTCAAATGTTATTTTGTTTTGTATTTGATAAATATGATCTGTTGAATTTCATGAATCCATGAAGACAACTTCTTCCAGATGGATAAATAGATTAAAAATTTTACTAAATTATTGATTAATGAAATGGAACGAATCCATAAAACATATTAGTTGCTGTAGAATTAGGTATCTAATTGGAAGGTTTTGAAAAAACTTACGAAATACCCCAATGATTTAGTATATTGTACATTGGAATACAAATTGATATTATATTTTCTAGCATTGAGCAGTGTAATGTTGGTATATTGGATATATTTGGCTTTGAAAATTTCAAAGTGAATAGCTTTGAGCAGGTAAATAGTTTTCTTTGAGAAATACTGTGAAAGATTTAAAATTTAAACACATTACTCTACAAAAGTTTACGCATGAAATTCACATTTGACAAGGGAAAATTTAGGTTTCATATAATCACCCTGATGCCAGTTGGAAATACACATGTAGTTAAAAGACAGATTTCAATTGCTTAATATTAAAATAAAGAAAGGATACAATTTTACCTTATTACTTAAATCTACTGACTTAGCAATGCCTTATTATATTTCAATAATATTGGATGATATTCCAGCTTGATAGACTAAATATAGGATGAATGAACATGATACCAGATTACTCAAAATTTACACACATAATTATGTTGATGTTTTGATGAGTTTTGCTTTGGGTAAATTATATAAAAATAAGGGGAATTGGTATTATCACCAATGAGACAACTTTACATCAAAAACCATAGGAAAAAAGTTTGAACAATAATACAGGTCACCTTTTGGCCCTCAGCAATGAGCAAATCTGTACTATATTGTAAGCTACAATACTGTGGATTTATTTATTTTCGTGGGTATCAATTTTCGTGGATTAAGGAAAATTTGCATTATCATGGATATTTTTGATTTTGTGGTTTTGCCAATTGCTGAATACAAATCCAATAGAAAATTTGTAATTCACCTTCACCCACAAAACCCACGAAAATGGGTATCCAATGATTAATAATGAATCCACAGTAAGCCTAGGGACGACAAAATGTAAAACAATTTAAAAGAGTTGGATTGTCTGCTATCTTTTATCATACAATATATGTACATCTTTTTAAAGTTTATTTTATTTTAAGATTTGTATCAACTTGGCTAATGAGCAGATGCAGAATTTCACCAATGAGCATCTGTTTAACAAAGAACAACAGGACTGTATGTTAGAAGGCATTCAATTGGTGGATTTAACGTACAAAAATAATCAGTCCATTCTGGATACCTTTATGGAGGTAACTTGCAAAAACATAAGAATTATAGAAATTATTAACATTTTCAAGATTTTTAAGGTGTAATACCACCATTGATTTCCCCCTATTAGTCTTTGTTAAATTTGCACTTTTCAAAAAATTGTGCAGAATTTATCTTTGTTTCAAATGAAGAAATACTTGGCATGAGTAAAGTTTTATCCTGTCCAGTACTATAGAAAAAATTTCACATAACATTTCATTGCATATAAGAAAATAACCATCACTGGAAGTTAACCAATCAAATTTCCCCCCTTTTTTAACCTCTGTACAAGCTTTAGTAACCATGTAACCTCAAGTTTCCAAAATATTCTATAGAAACCCCAAATAAAAAAATAATGGTGCTTTGAAATACCCAAGATATATGTTTATGACCCAGAAATGTTTTACTGCAATGACATGTAGAATCAATTACCTACAACTGTCAAATTCAAGGGAATATTTTTTTTCGACCTATTTTCGTATGCAACCGGATGTGACGTACTATGATTTGGTGGTATTACACCTTAAAGTGTTAATGGTAAATTTTTAGGGAATAACTTTCTTTTTTTCTCGGAATTCTAGACATATTTGTGCTCTCAAAAATTTTAAGTCCCTTCAGTGTAAAAAATAACTTTGATATTTAATTTGAGGTTATCTTCAGCAAGTTTTCAAAAGGTTTCACTCTTTAAACAAAATTGTGCTATAAAATGTAATCGTTTATACTCAATAAGGGTTTACATGATTACTTTTTTTTCTTTCCTTAAGTACATGCTTAATTGTTAATTTGATTCCATAAATTGCATTCAATTCCACTAGCTGACTTCTGAAATTATTTTTTTTATTTAAGTTAACAAATCAAATATGTGATGTAAATCATTCTCAATTGGATGATATCAAAAAGCCATGGTTGAAAAAGTCAATTTTCGATGTCAGTGATTCATTTATGACTAATTTTATTTGACACACAGTCACATGTAGCTTCTGCTGCCTGCTCTATTTTTGTTTTAGAGATTAACTCATATTGTATCATTAACTTGAAAAGACACTCTTTCCCCGTTCCTCCTAGTGATGGATATATGAAAAACCTTTTCTATTATTTTGTTCATTGGGAAATTTCCACAATTGTAAATTACAAACTTGACATCAATATAACAAACGTACAGATTTTCAGATTTTGTTTCTCATTAAATTTATAATACTCTGTTAAAATTATTTTATCAGTAAAGTTTCAGTAATGTTTTCTAACAAACTATTAAATTTATATATAAAGATTACATTTATACAATGATATAACAAAAAAAAGGCTGTATATGTGTAGACGGCTGCCACAGCTATTGTTTGGTTCGGATCGGTGAAGTTTCATCTTAGAAGCTGCAAGACCAAATTTTATCAGTCTTTATAGAAATGATAAGTAGAAGACCCTCCACAGAACATGTTATTTTTAATATTCAAATAATGTTTATTTTAGAAACACACTGGAGTATTTGCAATACTGGATGAAGAAAGTAGATTTCCTAAAGCAACAGATCTGTCATTAGCTGCTAAATTACACCAAGGACCAGGTATCAGTTATCTTAAATATTTCATACTGATTAATAAGACATTTCTTGCCATTTAAAAAAAAAATACTGCAGTGAATCTAAAGTTTTCATCTTAGTACTGAAAGGCTACAGTACAGGTAGTGCAAAATCTTCCAACTCATGTATTTCAATCTTGCTGATGATTTATAATAGTATTTTCACAGTTTAGAAGGTTATTATACCCCGTGCTATGAAGTAGAGGGGAGGGCATATAGTTATTTACTTGTCAGTCAGTAAATCCATTAGTCAGCCACTACGTTGATCAGATGCTCCAATACTTGTATATATGGTCACATATAATGTGAAGAAAACCCCTATTGATTTTCTATATCACTACCATACCTGCCAACTTTCAAATCTCCATGGGGGATTTTAAGCACAAGAGGACCTAATGCATTTCTTATATTGTCATATGTGTTTCTAATCTACTACTATATTGATTTAAATGAGTATGTATATGATTGAATACCCTTCTAACTCATTTGAATACCTGTCTTGAGGTTTTCAGTTTATATAATAAAGAATTTCAAAATTCAGGTCAACACCTCTCATGGGGGATATTCCACATAAATCAGAATAGTTGGCAGGTCTGCACTACATTTAAGATCAAGGTCAGAGTTACTAAATATAGACTGAGATTTTGCAGAAAAGTGGATTCTGGATGTTAAATAAAATAATGCATATGAGATTGCAACTTTACTTGGATATATGGTCACATTTAATGAGAGTAAAATCCCTATTGATATTGACATCACCCCATCAAAAGTCAATGTAATAGTTACTAAGAATAGACCTAAATTTGTGCAGAAAATTGGTTTCCAGATGCTTAATGAAATACTGCATATAGTATTGCAACCTTACTTGGATGTATTCCCACACATTAGAATTGTTTTTTTTTTCAAGCTAATAGGTCTACAGTCAAGATCAAAGTTACAAAAACAGATTTATGTGCACAATATTTCTCTGAATCATAATTGAAAAGTAAACAGAATAAACCATATGATATGTTTGTTATATGATTATTGTAATACTGAGATTGTAAATGATATCTATTTGTCATATCCACTCATAGAAATAGAACATTTTTAACTGGAAACAAAAAGTTATCATGTTTCAGTTGAAATATAAGAAAATATTCCCTTTTGAAAGCTATACAATACAAATTCAGACCAAGGACTAGCATGTTTACTTTTACCTTTACATACATTTATAAAAAAATAATTACATGGCTTCAAACTTCTTTCTATGCTTTATGGAACATAATACAGATTTTCTTTTTTACCTGACTTCCAGGATTGTGTACTGTATCAAACATAATACAGATTTTCTTTTTAACCTGACTTCCAGGATTGTGTACTGTATCAAACATAATACAGATTTTCTTTTTTACCTGACTTCCAGGATTGTGTACTGTATCAAACATAATACAGATTTTCTTTTTTACCTGACTTCCAGGATTGTGTACTGTATCAAACATAATACAGATTTTCTCTTTTACCTGACTTCCAGGATTGTGTACTGTATCATTTCTTATTGGCTCTAAAGACAATCACCTTGAATAAAGAAAGTAACTTCACATTTAGTTTTTCCATTGCTTGTTGAGTCCAGTATTTATTTCATGACCTTCCAAAACTATATTTGGCATCTAAATGAAAAATGCTAATTGAAACGATTCACAAATTATGTTATTTAATTTACCAGGAAAGAAATTCTCACATGTGTACAAGTCACCAAAAGATGGAGGTTCAACATTTACGATCGTCCATTTTGCTGGTGCAGTGTCTTATAATCTCCTTGGAACGCTAGATAAGAATAGAGATACACTGCCTAATTCCATTATGTATACTATGAAAAGTAAGTAACTGCGAAATTAACCTCTTATCATTCAAATATTAAAGTAGGACTATTTTGTTAGCTGAAAGAATAAGTGGAAGGGTGATGAATTTCATCAATTAATTATTGATACGATGAACTGTATTACAAAATATGAATGAAAAAGAATTAAATCCAACATACTTTGGAAATGTTATAAAGTGTTGTATGAGCTATTAGGAAGTTGGTGATTATAGTAAATCTATGTTCAATACATTCACATTTTGTCTTGACTCCATATGATTTGGAGCTTGGCATATTGTATAGACTCTGGCAGACAGGGCTTCCAAAAAATATTTGAGTCAGCTGGACATTTTTTTAATCCAGTTTTTAATCCCTTTCAACTTGGAGACAAAAGGCAATCAGGTGATGATCTTTTTGGGCATCTTAATAAAGACTGATGTAAAAACCGTATATTTATCTTCAAACTTTTGATATAAATTCCATGTTCTGATTTTAAATGTTATACATGTATTGCCAGTTCATCATTGGAAGAATTTATCATCCGTGTACTATCATCTGCCTTTATAGACTCTTTATTAATGCAAGAACTAGCTCTTAGAAACTTTACTTTCATTTTTTAAATGCTCTTTATACCGGGTGTTGACTTGACAATGGTGAAACTCGGACCAGAGAAATCAGTGTATAAACACAATTGTGTTTAAGTAATTCTTTCCACATTATTTCTTTGAGAAAATACTAGTCTTGAGATGAACTTAAGACAAATGTATAAATGTCATTTTTAACGTTTTTGAAGAATTAGAATGCATAATTAAATCGGGCATATGCACATACTTATGTGAATTCAAACACCATGGTTCTGTCAAAAAATCTCAAAAAAAACTTTTTTACTCTGTTTTTGTTTTTGTTTTTATCATTTAATTTATTTGATACATATTTTGATAGAGTAAATCGTTGTTGGTTAAATTAATTGGATGCAAACTGTGAAATTTAAGAAAATAACTTTTAAAAGACCCATTGATGTCCGGTACAAAATAGTTTACGTGTCGACTGAAAAGGTAAATTTCAGCTGTCAGACAACTGAATAACCTTGATTGTAATGAGGAGGTATTAAAGTAGGGCTTCTGTTGAGAGTACTTATTCATCATGTCACTTTTACGACAAGAAAAGTGCGACTGTTTAAGGGAAAAGGTCAGGTCAACAGATTGCAAAAACCTATATTTTTTTTCTGAATTATGTTAAAATGACAAACCCACTTTATGTGTCCGGTTTATGCTCAGCATACTGTGGATTCATTTTTATTCGTGGTATACCAATTTTCGTGGGTCACAGCGAACCACGAATTTAAGAATTCAACGAAGAATAATCCTGAGAAATGTGTATGGAGTCGGATGTTTATTTCCGGTTATGTTATGCAGTTCTAGTATAGTGTTGACTAGCGATAAACATTGTAACATAACACATGTTTTTATTGAATGAAGATACACTTGAAGTATTTTGACTAAATCAATAATAAATATATCGAATATCAGTGATAATTTACTTTTTAAAATTGATTAAAATTGTTCATGGAAAAAAACTGCAAGTTGTTAATTACCGTGTCATAGTTTGGTTTACTGGTGATTAAAAATCAATAGGATTAAGTACGGGGATATTGCCCTTAGGTAATATTGTTTTTGACAGGAACATTTATTTTCACACCTTTTACATATATGACTGTTTATTATATCGTGATTAGGGAAATGAGCTTTTCAATCATAGAGTTTTGAATGCCTTATAAAATTCCGACAAGAATTTATAAATTGTAATACAAACAAATAATTAGTTGTCTCTATCCATTATTGTAATAGAAGTTTTCAATGAACACTTTAACCTAGAATGACCAAGCGAGGATGTTGACAATTCAAAACTTTTTCAATGAATTCATTCTTTTTTGTTTGTTTTATTATTGATCAAACCAAGGAGGTTATATGATCTCCTAAATCAAAAAAAAATCCACGAATTACGTATCCGAATTTTTTTTTTTTTGTAATCAGCATTCCACGAATTTACATATACCATGAAACGTCTTTTTTTCTCTATCCACGAAAATTGATATCCACGAAAATAAATGAATCCACAGTAACGAGTTGAGAATATAACTTTCTGGACAATACAACCACTTTGGAAGCCATGGACTCTTGTCCTATGTTGACTATAGAAGTAAGAAGCTGTGGTATGATTGCCAATAAGATAACTGTCCATCAGAGACCAAATGACATAGAAGTTAACAACTATATGTCACAGTATGGCCTTTAACAATGAGCAAACCCCATACTGCATAGTCAACTATAAAAGGCCCCGAAATCCTGCATGTTGACCTGTTGGATGTCTTTTCTGGTTGGTAATATTGTTGGGTTCCTATATAAGTGTAAATGTTAATGTTTTCTTTGTATTTTTCAGCAAGTAACAGTCTGTTGATAAAGGATTTGTTTCAGTCAAAAATAACAAGAACAGGATCATTAGCACCTAGTGCCAGACAGCAGAGATCTAGGAGAAATACAACTAAATCTCCATTTGAGTTCTTTAAGAAACTGAGAGGTGGAAAGACAGACAAGGTAGGAGAGATATAGGTCATAAATTTTAATGAATAGAAGGGACTATCTGGGTATTCTTCGTATCCCCATCTGTGCACTCGGAAACTGTATATGACATACATTCTGTCCATTTTGTGCTGAGACTGACTATATGCTATAAAATAAAGATGGCCACATTACTCATATTTTACTCTTTTGATTGTTTTTATACGACCGCAAACAAATTTTTGTGGTCGTATATTGGTATGACTTTGGCGTCGTCGTCGTCGTTGTCGTCCGAAGACACATTAGTTTTCGCACTCTAACTTTAGTTTAAGTGAATGGATCTCAATGAAATTTTACCATAAGGTTCAATACCACAAAAGGAAGGTGGGGATTGATTTTGGGGGTTATGGTACCCACAGAATTAGGGGCCAAAAAGGGCCAAAAATAAGCATTTTTGTAACTTCCAGACATAACTTGTGTGTAAGTGTATGGATCACTCTGACATTGTACCACAAGGTTCCATATCACAAAGGGAATGCTGGGATTGATTTTGGGGGTAATTGCCTCTAAATTTTAGGAATTGGTGGCCAAAAAGGGGCAAAAAACAAGCATTTTTCTAGTTTCATGACAATAACTTGTGTGTAAGTGTATGAATCTCTCTGACATTGTATCACAAGGTTCCATATCACAAAGGGAATGCTGGGATTGATTTTGGGGGTAATTGCCTCCAAATTTTAGGAATTAGGGGCCTAAAAGGGGCAAAAAACAAGCATTTTTCTAGTTTCATGACAATAACTTGTGTGTAAGTGTATGGATCTTTATGAAATTGTACTACAAGGTTCCATATCACAAAGGGAAAGCTGGAATTGAGTTTGGGGGTAATTGCCCAAAAAGTTTAGGAATAAGGGGCCAAAAATAAGCATTTTTCTAGTTTCCAGACAATAACTTGTGTTCAAATGTATGGATCTCTCTGAAATTGTACTGCAAGGTACCATAACACAAAGGGAAGGCTGGGATTGATTTTGGGGGTAATTCCCTCAAAATTTTAGTAATTAGGAGCCATAAAAGGGCAAAAAAAACAAGCATTTTTCTAGTTTCAGGACAATAACTTGTGTGTAAGTGTATGGATCTTTATGAAATTGTACTGCAAGGTTCCATATCACAAAGGGAAAGCTGGGTTTGAGTTTGGGGGTAATTGCCCCAAACGTTTAGGAATTTGGGGCCAAAAAGGGGCCAAAAAACAAGCATTTTTCTAGTTTCCAGACAATAACTTGTGTTCAAGTGTATGGATCTCTCTGAATTTGTACTGCAAGGTACCATACCACAAAGGGAAAGCTGGGATTGAGTTTGGGGGTGATGAATCATAAGGGGGTTCAAAAAATTTGGGGGGGGGGGGGATTTTTTTTTCCTTTTTTTTCTTTAAAATTTTCCATTTTAAATTGGTTATTTCTGATTTATATATAAAAGCAAATAATAATGATATGGTTTGGATAGGTAAATTAAAATTTTTTAAGTTCTTAGACCACATTCATTCTGTGTCAGAAACCTATGCTGTGTCAAATATTTAATTACAATCCAAATTCAGTGCTGTATCAAGCTTGAATGTTGTGTCCATACTTGCCCCAACTGTTCAGGGTTCGACCTCTGCGGTCGTATCAAGCTGCGCCCCAGCGAAGCATTTTATTAAAATTCATTACTGATATTGATTTTTGATCTAAGTTTATATCTCAGTTACTAGGTTACCTGCAATCATATAACTTAATGTACAGAAATATCTAGGGAGTATTTCATCATCTCACAAAAAGTAGGTCACTATGACTTACATTTTATACTAATCACTACTTTATATCAAGATTAACATCAAAGTATAGATCCCTTATACTAAGAAACCTACAATGTCATAACTTAGTACAGGAAGATATCTAGGGAAGTATTGCAGTATCTTACAAGTAACTCACTGTGACCTTCATTTTGCACTTCTTCGACTTCTTAATTTTTTTTCCGAATTCAGATCTCAAATACTAAATGATAAATCATTTAGTGAAATGATGCATCAAGAGGGGTATAGCAGTATTAAGGCTACAATGATTCTTTTCAAATTCCATTAAAGTTTTTTTCCCTGACACTAAGTTTCCTACATTTTGATCCTTTTCACATGCACTGAAGTTAAATTTGATTTCAATAATTGTTTTAGTTATTATACAATGAATAAGGTTTAACAAGCCAATTTAGAGATAAGACAAGCTATATAATTGATATATTTCTTATGTGTTTAAGTTCAGTTCCAGTTTTAGCTGTGTATGTCTTCTTGGGAAAGGCTAAATGGAATCTAATTCTGTATGAAATTGGCTAAATTCAATCAAACTATGTTTGTTTAATGATCCTTAATCACACAACAGAAAAGTTTCTGAAAATTTATAGATTTATATAAAATACATGGTGAGAGGTATTGCAACTGAAATGACTCTTGACTGTGCACTTAGTACTGTATCATGCCTGTTTTATCATATTTGATCTTTTTATTAGACAAAACAACCTGTCAAACCAATGACTGCTTCAGAGAGGAAAGGACCAGCCACAATGGCTTACCATTTTAGGGTATGTTACAAGTATTATTATAATATTTTCCTTATTCAATAATCATTTTGGTATTACATTAAAATAAACATACTGAAATCATTTTAAAGACAACTTACATCCATAAAATAACATGGCTGACATGGCTAAAATAGAAACAGAGGGGTAAAATGCAAATTATGTCTATAATCTTGAAAAACCACTATAGACAGAGAAAATCTGACAACAGCAGAAATGATCAGAATCATGAGATCTACATTCTTTTTAATGGATTTATTGCTTTGAAATGATGATTTTCTCCATTTTTTTGCATTTTTGCCTATTATATTGATTACTATAATTGATAGTTGGAAATTTAAATAGCAGTAATGATCAGCGAAATAAGTCACCATGACGGAAATTGTCAGTCAACTCTTTATAGGGGTTATTGCCCTTAAATGATGATTTTTACCATTTTTTTTTTCATTTTTAGTGAAAACTTTGGTGGATAGGGAAAAACTGTAAACAGCAAAATGGTCAACATAGCTGAAATTGTCAGTTGACTCCTTGTAGCAGTTATTGCCCTAAAGAGACAATTTTTACCATTTTTTAATTTTGGGCAAAGATTATAAAAGATACAGAGAAATTGTAAACAGTAAAAATGATCATCAGAACAGGTTCAACCAAAAATAGATTTTAGTAATGAATTATAGTTTTAGTCTACAATGTTGGAGAGTGGCCGGTTATAGAGTATGCACATAGATCCAGGTGAGCAACGCAGGCTCTTCTAGTTTTATTTTCTGAATAATTTTTGGGATTTTCCAATACAAGAACTTTGCAACTATGCCATAAATGTTAGTGAGACATCAGCCCAACAAGCTATGTTAATTAATGTATCCATTTCAGTGTTCCTTATCAGAATTGATGATCAAGGTCCAGTCATCTACACCACATATAATAAGATGTTTGAAACCAAATACTACCAAGGCAGCTATGACATTTATACCAGAATATGTTCTAGCACAGCTCAGATATACAGGCATCAGTGAGACAATCAAAATAAAGAAGTTTGGATATCCTTACAGGATCAAATTTCATGACCTTGTCAGTAGGTATGTAGGAATGACATGTACAGATAAGTTAACAACATGTGAGATAAAAGCATACACAAGAAACCATTTTGTGAAAAACAAGACTGAAAGATACATATCTTCATTCTGATTTGTCTTTTTTTAAATGGCTTTTATGAAATATCAAGAATATAGGGTTAGAAAATGGTGAAATAATGGCAGTCAGCACAATTTTCTGTGGTTTGGAGCAAGTCCAATGAGTTAGCATAGAGTTTCAATATATTCTCAGCCTATAATTGTATTTTTGCCTTCCCTGAATTGTTTTTATAGAAAAAGGAAAAGGGTTACTTTTCAGATACATCATTGATATTTGTGTCACTGTCTAGCTGTTGCTATTGACACATAGGGATCATTTCTGTCGTTTTTGTTTATGTTGTTGTTGTAGTCTATATCATACTTTTTGTTCATCCACTAGAACCGGAAAATGGAAGGATAGAATTTAACCAAACGCACATATTCTACAGTACATGAAGTTGTGCTCCCGCTATTTTATTTTTGATATGAGTGATTTTAGGGGTTTCCAATACCTACACATGGACCTTATCATTTCTGCTTAAATCAGTTTGTTAATCTCAAACTAAATGAATACCATAAACTGTTCCTAATTTAAAGTATTTACATAGTTTAATGTAAATTTAAATGTTCAGATAAGATTTAGAAGTACTTAAAAAGTACGCCCATTCTCATATTCTTGCAATAGTAAGACAATTTATCAAAATTACTGTTTGTTTTATGTACCTGCAAAGCAGGCAAGGCAAATCCTTGGTGTTAACAGATTTATTTGATAGATATAAATTATTATTTTTTGTTTTGACCATTCATTCAAGTTGTGTTTTCAGATATAAAGCATTGATGTTGTCTTGCTTACCTTCCCACTCCATGATACCTGACATTGAAAAGTGTAAAGAAATATTTAAGTTCTGTGTAATCAGTGATGGATATCAGGTAAGATGTCATGACTGAGTTGGTTTGAAAATAAAATCAGGTAAGATGTCTTGACTGAGTTTGTTTGACAATTTTGTATGGCTTAGTTGGGAAAACAATAGAATATTTATTAGAATGGATTAACATAAGATCATCTCATATTGCTATGGATATTGTTAAGGACAATGTTTTAGCACAGAGCATGCCACAGACAGAAAAAGCATAGGTCATATAAGCGACTCCATTAATTACTTAACCAAAATGAAGTAACTTCGACTTTTTTTTTATTATATACAACACTAGCACCTTGTGAACCCTACTTTTCTGAGACTGATGACAAAAAACTCTCACACTTAGTAGGATTGTATTGCCATCATGTGTAGTTCACAATATTGTATTGTCATCATTTTGATTCAACAATTTTTACTGGATTGATGGGACCTTGACTTTTCTTTGACTATCCTACCACAATCACACCTTGTGAATGCAACTCCTCTGAGACCTATTAAAACTCATACTTTCTGTGATTGTTTGCCATCATGTTTAGTTTGCCGTATAATATGGTCATTTTGATTCGACAATTTTTAAAGGGAGTTATGGAACTATGACAATTTAACGCCTATAATACCACAATGACATCATGATTGACCTATTAAATAACGACACGTTGTGAATGCATCAAGATCTTTATGTCAGAATATATTTTTGCAATTACAAACTTGGTACAAAATCCTTAGATACCTTCATTGTTTGGGTTCTCTTTAATTTAACTACCGGTTATTACACAAATAAAACAGTTACAGAACTTTTTTGTATTGGTCAAAATTAGTTTTGAAATACCGGGGTATTAGTTCTAAGGAGTCAAAATTTATCTTGATCAATGTTAATATTTTATTGTTTATTTAGCTCACATTTGCCCGTACCAACAGTTATTATATTCTAATAACCAATACTTGTATTTCAGATAGGTAAAACCAAAGTATTCATGACAGATAGAGTTGTATGTAATGTTGATAAAGCCAATGATGAAATACTAAAGAAAATTGTCAAATCACAGTCAGGTTAGTGGATATTAGTACTGGTATATCAGCAAGTAAATCAATATCAAAATCTATGCAAAAAGGCCATATAAGATTGATCAGTTTTTCAGACATTTGATATTTAGAAAAAAAAGGGCAGGATGAGATCTGTCTCTGAATTTTGTGTAAATTTGACAATAGTTTTCAGATTGAGATAACTCAAATAATGACATGTGGGAGGGTCAAATTGATATATATATGAACAAATTAAAACTGGGAGTCTGGGAGGAAACTAAAATTTGAACTGGTAAACATAACTGAGAAAATGAAGTAGCCATTAGATTACAGTACAAAAAATGTAATTGTATTCTTATTACTTGCATTTCAGATTGATACATCATGGTTTTAGAATCACCAGTGACCCACTTGCAAAAGTTCAATAATAAATTATACAGGCCATGGCATGTGCTTTCTCATCAACCTCAAGAAACTATTAAACATACCACCATAAAATTTGTTGTGCAGATGCAGCTTGGAGAGACTGATCTTATTTAATCAATAAAAACTCCTGGCAACCATGCATTTCCCAGTTCAATTTTCATTTCTTCATATGTTGAATTCTACAGAAATGGTACAGACCTCTATGGACTTCCATGGTAGGATTTATTATGTTGTATTCCCTCTTGGTATCTTCAAATTTCTTTTCTGCTCTCATTGAATTTTATGTTTAAAGTAATGAAATCATACACAATTATTTCAGCTGTCAGAAGACATAAAGCTATACAAATTTTCAAAGAGAAGAAAGCAGAATTTGCTAAGAAGCAAGCAGAAGCTAGAGCTATAAAGCGAGCTGAGCCAACAAGTAATCAGTAAGTAGTACTCAGTGTTGTTTTAAAATAAGTGAAAATTAGAGATGAGGTTAAACTTAATGAAGAATCAAAGAGTAACAAGTCAGAGGGTCTCAAAATTGATCAATCAGTGAAAATGCGAGGTGTCAGCTAAAAGTTTGCCATAACTCAAATAACAATTATGTATGCCGCTTGAATATATGGAACTGCTTCTAGATACATAGAATGATATTTGTATTCTTTTTACTTCAAGAGGTACAATAAATACAATATTCAGCAAATAGAAGTATAATTATATAGGTTGAAGGTAAATATCACAAATAGTTTATCTTCAAATTGTGATTCTCTACAATACAGCCTCCAAACTGTCTTGTGTTTAATTGAGAATTGGTGTTTTTAAATTGTGGTTTATTGAAATTGTGTTCTGATATTTTTTTTAAGTATTGGGCATTATGTTTTACAGTCTGTCCACCCATCCTAATTTTGGAATTATTTATTTGTTCATGTTCTTATGGCCCACCAATAGGTAGCTAGGGCATATAGTGTTTCCTAAGTCTGCTATTTCCCCCGGCCTTTTACGTTTCCGCAAATTGGCATTACTTTTCCGGGAAAAAAAGATGACGTTTCCGCAAAAAAAAGTCTACGTTTCCGGAAATAAATACCTTACTTTTCCGAGAAAATAGTAACGATTCCGGAAAAAATAAATAATTACTTTTTCGAGAAAATAATTAAGGAGTACCTTGAACTTTGTCCTAAATAAAACCTGCAACAACTGATTGTAGCAGCATGAAATTTTTGTAACAGCAGTATGCATTGACAAGTCAAAGTCAATATGATCTACCTTGGGCTGGAGAGTTCATCTTCGGGTAGTGCACACATCAATAAGCAGAGTCCCACATTTTGATAAAAAGTGGAAGTAACGCAAACACAAGAGGAATGAAGTTACCATTTTACACCCATGTATCGAATATTCAACTGTGCCATCTGTGAAAATATCAGTTTTTTCATTACATAGACGATCATAGACATTTCAAGTTGGTGAAACATAAAAATATAACGATTCCGACATCATCATCTTTCACTAAGGTGACACTTTCATTTTTTTTTTATATCTAGTGTATTGTAGATATAAGATCAGAACCTTTTTCGTATAAAAATATGAAATAAATAATTTATCTAACATATATTCAAATATTAATAATGTACTACCAGGTAAATTTCCGGAAAAGTCATAAATACAATTTCTGGAAACGTATACTTTAAGTTTCCGGAAACGTAGTATTGGAACTTTGAAAAATTAGCGGAAATGCAATACGTCCATTTCCCCATTCTGAAATCAATCATCTGGCCTTATTCTTTTTTGTTACACCTGGAGATATTGATCTTGATTTTTTTGTTCATTTGTGTAAATTGATTAATTGCATATTGAGTACAGGATTTGTTTTCTATTGACTGACTTTTAGCAGAACCTAAGACCTTGGACTTTCATAAAAATTGAACATGTCAAGACTTTTTTATTCCCCGCCTCAATGGTAGAGGGGCAGTATGTGTCTTTCCATCTGTCCCATATCAGGTTAAAGTTTTGGTTCAAGGTAGTTTGTGGTCACATCACATTGAAATTTGAAAGCTAAGTATTATGTATATAATGTGAGGGTACCCAAATTGCACTTATTTTGACAGTTCTTTCACCTAGGTTTTTTAAGGTCCATCCCTAGGTCAAAGGTCAAGGTCTATGAATCATAGAAAAAAGTGTTTGAACCTACCTCCAAATGATCAATGATTGAGTAATGAGGAGTACCTAAATTGCATCCATGCTTAAATTCACATCAGTAAAAATGGAATAACTGATGTTAAGTTTTATTTCTCCACATTTTTAGAACAATTTGGTTACTATTCATTTCATAAGAAATAGATCTCTAGGACATATTTTAATTGCTCATTTTTAAAAGTTGACTTTTTGTGGACGTGTTTTCTCAGGATACTTCATCTGTTGATATGTAATGTGACCATTTTGTGCATATTTAGATATATTTAGCAATGTTTGAAGAAGTCCGAAATGGCAAATTATAAAAATATTAATTAATTAGTCTCTAAGAAAATTACTTGTATGATTTCCACTGCATTTTTTGCAAAATGGGTGCAATTTGGGTACTTGGTGCATTTGTTAATGATTTTGTCCATTGCCACACCACCAAGGATCACCAAGGTCTCAGAATTTGTTTTGTTACTTCTGTCTATTTTTTAGGACTTAAGTTGTGGTAATTTTTTAAAAATGTCAGATTAATCAAAATCTAAAAATTGGCAATTTCTGACTATAGGGTGTCTAAATGCCTGATGTTGATAAATTTTCAAATTCAGTTTGACAGAAATTAAGAATTGGTATTTTAAATTAGTCAAGACTGGCAAATGTGATAGTTCCTCATACCTTCCAAATTTTCAAAATCGACCTGTTTGCCTCAAAGATTTCATTCTCAGTAGGAGTGTTTATCATCCAGGATGTTTAGATGACTTTTATTTACCACCATTTTGATTTGTACTTTTTGGCAGGACTTTTGAGACTTAACCAGTTTTGGTCTGTTTAAGCATAATGACATCTTGCTATACCTAATTTCATACTTGGTAGATGTGTTTGTCATCATGTGTAGTTGACCATACTATATATACCATTATATTGATAAACTATTTTTGCAATATTTATTTGACTTTGACTAATTTTAGCCTCTTATAAGCATAATGACACATTGTTAACTCTAGTGAGCGTGTTTGCCTTCAGACTTTCATTTTTATATGTATTACCATCCAGCTGCAGCGGCGGCGGTATAAACTATTTGTATAAAGATTTACATTTCAGAAGGAAGAAAACCTGGATGTTTCATGATGTTTTGTATGAAGTAGCATTACTATCAGTACATATCAGTTTGTTGACTATTTCGAGGCCCTGTCCCCTAGGTCATGATCCACTGCCTTTCAATTAATAAGCAATTTTCAATATTAAGTTTTCTGCTTAAGTTAGTTTGATAGGAACTACTTGTGATAGATCAATGATATTTTCTGTAAAGTTGCATTACTATCAGTACACATCAGTTGGTCAACTATTTCGAGGCCCTGTCCCCATAGGGCATGGTCCAGTGACTTTCAATTAATTAGCAATTTTCAATGTTAAGTTTTCTTCTTAAGTTAGTTTGGTAGGAACAACTTACAATAGACAATGATATTTTCTAGAAAGTTACATTACTGTCTGTACATCTCAGTTTGTCGATTATTTTGATGCTCTGCCCTCTAGTTCATGGTCAGCTTTGAATTAAGGGTATACGATACAGTTACAGGGGAGGTAATGACTTTGCCAGCGTAAAATGTTATTTTTCGCGACGTCAAACTGCGACATATCGGGAAAAGATGCATTTTTCGAATGATTTTTATCATTCAGACTGATAAACGAGTTCATGGACCCCTCTTTCTTAAAATGACATTAGGATTGATTATGTATGGAGATTATTTGTACCAATTTTTATACGCCCGTATACGGGACGTATGATGGTATACCGTTGACCGTCTGTCCGTCCGTCTGTCGTCAACATGTCGGACATTAACTCAAAAAAGCTTTAAGCAATATGCATGAAACTTTGGTGAATTGTTTATATCTATTGACATGAGCTCCCTTTTGTTTTTAAAAAATTTCATATTTACCGTTTCCGAGTTTTGGGGTTTTATTCATTAAAAAAGGGGGGATTTTCCAGTTTTCCGACAATAACTCAAGAATGCTTTCACCAACTTACAAGGAATTTTGGTGAATTGTTTATATCTATTGACATGAGCTCCCTTTCGATTTTTATAAATTTTAGATGTTACAGGGTTTTATTCAAAAGCAAGGAAAACATATTACAATGGGTATATTCTGCCCCTAATTGACTACTGCTGTATTATTTGGGGTGAATGTAAAAATGAAGGGATAACAAGTATTTTAAAACTCCAAAAAAGGGCAGCAAGATTAATTCTAGATGCAGATCCTTTATCTCCCTCAGCCCCCTTATTTAAAAAACTTGGGTGGATGACAGTTGTCAATAGAATCAAATACCACAAATATTTACTTCTATATAAATGTATGCGTATGGAAGCACCAATGTACCTAGTTCAAAAGTTTAAACTGAAATCAGATAATAATCCTTACTCCTTGAGAGGTGTCACTCAAGGTAATCTGATAGTTCCTAAGCCAAAAGCTGAGCTATTTAAGAAATCTTTTGTTTATTCTGGATTAGTGTTATGGAATGGACTACCACACAAAATGCGTAAAGCTCAAAACACTTATACTTTTAAACAAAGTATCAAGAAGTACTTATCACAGTCCTGATTATGTTTTCTACAATGTATTTGTATATTTTTTTTTTTTTTTTTTATTATTTTTATTTGATTTTTTGACTACATGTACATCTTGAACAGCTTTATATCTTATCATGTTAACAATATTACATTGAACTACTTGACTGTAAATTAACTATTCGTAAATATCTGTTTTTGATTGTATTGTAATTTGTATGTAATTTGTAAGTGAGGGCCTCAGGGAAGATTAGTTTATTGTAACTAACTGAGTTTACCCTCTATAGGTTGCACTTTGTAAATACAGCTGTTTCTCAAACCACGCCTCTTTTGGGGAGATATTTGATATTCATAGGTATGTTTATTTGTTAACGTACTGGTTCCCATTGATGATCTCTGTGTTTCATCTCATAGAGGCATCACTTGAGAATGTAACCAGTATAGAAAAACATGGTAGCGGCTAAATTTTAATTCTTAGGAGGTCCAAAAATGGAGGTAAGGGTAGTATAGAATTTTAGTATAAGTTTAAACTCTTAGAAGTTCGGGGCATATAAATGTTGAAAATATGCCACACAGCCCTATATTTTGACCTTTGAATAAAATAGTAGTGCATATAAACTTTCCGTTCTGGGATATTATTTTTCACGAAACTTCATAGTAAAAGTGTCACAGTTTTAGCCGCAAAGGGAGTTCCTATGGGAAATTGCATTGTCTGTATTTACAGAATTGCAACCTATAAATAAAAAATTTATTATTATTATTATTATTATTATTATTCATAAAAAAAGGATGATTTTCCAGTTTTCTTTTATTCATAAAAAAAGGGGGATTTTCCAGTTTTCGGACAATAACTAAAAAATGCTTTCAGCAGTTCTCATGAAACTTTGGTGAATTGTTAATATCTGTTGATGTAAGCTCCTTTTAGAATTTTATAAATTTTAGATTTTTCATTTCCGAGTTATGGGGTTTTATTCATTAAAAAAGGGGGGATTTTCTAGTTTTTGGACAATAACTCAAAAATGCTTTCAGCAGTTCTCATGAAACTTTGATGAATTATTTATAGCTATTGATGTAATCTCCCTATTGATTTTCATAAATTTCAAATATGACATTGAGAAGAAATTGAACTTTATTTGTTTATAGTCTGACAACAGATTTACTAAGTATTGCACAACAGCAAGAAATCTTTAATTGAATATAAATTCAATTCATATAACCAATTTCAAGTTCTTTGGCTACATTTATTCAGAAACCTATAATATGTCAAATATTTAATTACAATCCAAATTCAGACCTGTATCAAGCTTGAATATTGTGTCCATTTTTGCCCCAACTGTTCAGGGTTGGACCTCTGCAGGCGTATCCAGCTGCGCTCAGCAAAGCAGTTTATTATGAAAAAGTCACCGATGAGATTTTTTAAAATAAGATAAGTATACAGTAAAAAATTCTGTTTTTTTCCTAAAATCCTGAAACTTTGATAAAAATTAATTATTTCCAAAGAATTGTTATACAAATTTAGAGCATACTTATGTAAAAGAGATTTTCCAAATGTTTTTACAAAAATCCTATTGTGTTTATCTTTTGAAACAAATAAGTTAGGTATGTCTATCCAAAGGATAGAAATGTTCCAAAAAACGAAATTTTGAGTAAATGTCTAAAATTTCGACCCCATTTATCTCTTAAAGTAGCACATGAAGGTATATTTTTTATTACATATTTGCATTGACTAGGTGAAAAATAGCTTGTATGCAAATTTTCGTAAAAAAATCACCATGGGATCAAAACTGTATCGTATGCTCTTAATTAGCAATGTTGCTGTCCATCAGATTGTTTTTTTCTGAATTTTATGCAGACTGAAGAGACATATCTCTGTGTCAACAGTTTATATGTTTAATGATTGAATTCAGAAGAATCAGTTTATACGTTTAGTGATTGAATTCAGAAGAATCAGTTTATAAGTTCAGTGATTGAATTATGAAGAATCAGTTTATATGTTTAGTGATTGAATTCAGAACAATCAGTATATATGTTTAGTGATTGAATTCAGAAGAATTAGTTTATATGTTTAGTGATTGAATTCAGAAGAATCAGTATATATGATTAGTGATTGAATTATGAAGAATCAGTTTATATGTTTAGTGATTGAATTCAGAAGAATCAGTTTATATATTTAGTGATTGAATTCAGAAGAATCAGTTTATATATTTGTGATTGAATTCAAAAGAATCAGTTTATATGTTTAGTGACTTAATTCAGAAGAATCGGTTTATATGTTTAGTGATTGAATTAAGAAAAATCAGTAGTTTTATAATAAACAAAATTGTGAAAATTGAGGAAGTTTTTGTTGAAAGCAAATATCTTCAGTTCACAAACTTAACTTATTGAAAGTGAATTTCCTCTTAATTTCCTTTTTAATATGAGATCTAGGTCCCAGACAAGCATTTAAATAAAACTTAGGTTTTTATACATGTAATGTATTGAACAATTTGCAAAATTAGACTTGCAGACCTTTAACTTTTTTTGTTTTGTTTTTAATGTTTAAAGTATAGATGAAACAGAGGATACTTTAATTCATAGGTTTTATTAATTCAGAGTAAGAGTAGAAACAGTGGTTTATTTTCATATAGAGGTTTGTTTATTTCAGGGTTACAGAAGAAACAGTGGTATATCTTAATTTAGAGGTTTGTTTATTTCAGGGTAACAGAAGAAATACTACATACCTTTGATGATTTAGAAGACATGATAGACAATCTTTATACTGATGCCATAAGTTATAGGCCTTATGAAGGTCAGTTACATTATATTGATGATACTTTATTAAAAAAAAACCCACCTTTTTCATTCATATGTTTATTGGTAACTCTGGGGCTTTCGTCCAAAAATGAGAAAATTTTATGAGCCTATGTTTATGAAATACTTCTGTAACAAGGACATCAGTAGCTTTGTAAAACTTTCGTAGAATATTATGAAACTTGACTGAAGCTTTTTTATTATGATAAAGAGATAACATCTGAAGCAGAATTTTGTAAATATATTTTTTTTTAATTTTTTTTATTTTCAATGTTTTTACAGGACTTAGTTTTTTGCATATACTGTGCATTTTCAAAAGCCTTTGTCCTTTCACAACACCTATTGCTGAAATAATTTTCCCAATTGCAGTTTGAGTTCAACTCTACAAACTGATCAACATTTTAGCCAATCACTTAAATGAAAGGTTGTTTGTTTGAAGTAAGTGCAGTGTGATAAAATGTATATTCTTATATATATTTTTATCTGTGCTGATAGAGTTTGAACAAATTTTTTTGACATTCAGAAACTAAACAAATGGATGAAACAAGTTTTACAACTTAGTAATGTCTTCTCTTCTTGTGCTAATACAAATGATCATATTGATAACCCATTATGTGGAAATGGTTTTCAGTTGCTTTTGTACTATCAAGTCTGCCATTTTCTTTTTGTCGAGCCTGCAAAATTTTGTTGCGGAAGCAAGACAATACTTTAAACAATGAAAACTCCTAGAGGATAGCTTTTTTAAACAACAAATTTATCAAATCTTTATGGAATTTTATGAAACTTGTACCTAAGATTTTGAGCTCACCTGGCCCAGAAGATCAAGTGAGCTTTTCTCAACACTTGGCGTCTGTTGTCGTTTGTTAACTTTACAAGAATCTTCCTCCTCTGAAACTTCTAGGCCAAATTCAAGCAAACTTGGCCACAATCATCATTTGGGTATATAGTTTTAAAAATGTGTCTGATGACCCCACCTGACAATCAACATGGCTGACATGGCTGAAAAAAGAACGTTAGGGTAAAGTGTAAGTTTTGTCTATTTTCTTGTAAACCCCTATAGATAGAGAAAACCTGATGGTCAGAATATTAGGATGTAACTACTGTTCATTTAATCAAAACTGTCAGACAATTTCTACAGGAGTTATTGCCCTTAAAGTAGAAATTTTACAATATTTTCATTTTTATGCCCCAGCGGCTAGGAAACAGGGGCATAAAGGTTTACCTTCGTTCATCTGTACATCTGTCCGTCAGTATGTTTTGAAATCTGTTCTCTAACTTAAGTATGCCTTAACCAAATATTATGAAACTTATACACATTGCTTATTACCACCAAACACAGGTCGAGTTTGAATTTGGGTGGCGTCACATGCCTTGTTCTCGAATCATGTCCCTTTATAAATGGAAATACTGCTGAATGAATTAGTACATTGACTCTTGCATATTTACAAGGATGGGCATCTGTGTCCCATGGACACCATCTGTGTCCCATGGACACATTCTTCTTTTATTTTCATTTATAGAAAAGTAGTAATTATACTATTGCTTATTCTATTTATAATTATATCAGTGTTACATACCTATCAGCAATCTCAGAGGGTCATGTCGATTGTTAATTAGATGGCATCCATTCCCAAAATGTTGATACTTTTTATGATTGCATGCATTGTTTATTGTTTTTTGTGGGACTTTTGTAATTCTGATGTACATTTTGGTATGGTATAAATCAAAACTGAGAGTTTGAGTCAACTCGCTTATGCCCCTTTATTGTGCCTTAGTTATGATGAACTACTAGAAAAAAAGACCTATCTCTGAATCTTTAATTCATAGTGTTGGTCATGCAATTTCTGTCTGTAAGTCACCTGGCCCAAATGGTCCAAGCCTTATTGGTCAAAGCTTTTATATAGAACAATTGAATTTTAGAAGGATGGGATTCCAATTTTGTTAAATTAGTCTCTTAGAACAATAATCAGTACAATGTGATTCTAGTTTTGCTAAATTTACTGAAAGACTCATAATTTTTTTATAAAAGGTACCTAGCAACAATATATTTTTGGAGATATATTGACCCAAGCTTTTATATACCGGTAGAACAATTGGTTTCCAAAAGATATGATTTCAATTTTTTCATAGCAATAATTATTATACCCCCACTCAAAGTTGGGGCTATATTGCAATAACCTTGTCCACCCAGCTGTTCTTCCATCTGTTCTTCCAATAAATATTTTCGTCACACTTTTGACACCACAGAACAGAATGACTTCACATTTGCTCAACAGTGACAGTGATGAGTTTTATCTTGTGAGCACTTTTTGGATACCTTTCAGATACCTACTTCTTTGTTTGTTTACCCCAAAATATTGAATTAATTAAAAAAAATTGTTACACTTTTCTCAGAAACTTCTCAACTGAATGACTTCATATTATACCTGCACTCTAAAAGTAGGGCTATATAGCAACCTTGTCTGTCCATCTATTTGTCAGACAAATATTTTTGTCACTCTTTTCTCAGAAACGAAGGAAGAAAATGACTTCATAATTGGTCAGCAGTTTCCCAGTGTTGAGCTGTAATGTGTGAGCACTTTTCGTATCTGTCAATTACCTACTTTAAGTTTGCCATTCTTTTTTCAATATGTTGAATGAAATTAAAATTTATCGTCACACTTTTCTCAGAAACTAATGAACACAATGCTTTCATATTTGGTCAGCAGTTTCACAGTGATGAGCTGTAATGTGTTAGCACTCTTCAAATCTGTCAAATAACTACTTCCTGTTTGCTGATAGGTTGATTTTTTTCAAAATTTTCATCACACTTTTCTCAAGTTCTTTTGAACAGAATGACTTCATATTGAATCAGCATCTTAGCAGTGATGAGTTGTAACATGTGACCTCTTTTTAGATCTTCCAGACACCTACTTCCTGGTTTCCGATACTTTAATTATTAGTGGAGGTATGCTGAACACGACAATTTGTACATGATTGGATACTTAAATACTCATATTAGAACAGCTACAAAATGTATATATGCATTAGATATGTGGAAAAATAAATTAAATCAAGCCCTGGTAGTTCAACAAGTCCTTAAAATAACTGAAACTGATGTAGTGATGTGTACCTGAGACACATCTCCTTTTTTTTTAGTACTTGATTATGTTTTCTGGTCTGTAACATTTTATTTTAAGAATTTTTTATGCCCCACCTACGATAGTAGTAGGGGCATTATGTTTTCTGGTCTGTGCGTCCGTTCGTTCATCCGTTCTTCCGTCCGTCTGTCTGTCCCGCTTCAGGTTAAAATTTTTGGTCAAGGTAGTTTTTGATGAAATTGAAGTCCAATCAACTTGAAACTTAGTACACATGTTTCCTATGATATGATCTTTGTAATTTTAATGCCAAATTAAAGTTTTGACTCCAATTTCACGGTCCACTGGACATAGAAAATGATAGTCTGAGTGGGGCATCCGTGTACTATGGACACATTCTTGTTTTATTCAGAAATTGTCACATTTTTATAAATAATTCATCAAATACTAGTATCTTAAAAAGCATAAGCTACGAGATATAAAAAAATTAAAGTATGATTTTTTTTTGTTCAATCATTAATGAAAGTGATAAAGTGAAATAATAATTGGCTTTTGGCAGCCAATTTGGTTCAATTTTGTCAAAATAAGCTAAGAAACATTGCTGATGAATTATTCACTTGCAAGTGAATATTTTGACCTCATTGAATCAATATTCATGTGACCTTTAATTTAACCCCTTAGGTGGGGATGTGTTTGAGCTTTTGATTTTGCTATTTTATAAGGGACTTTCCAATTTGAATTTTCCTTGTAGTTCGATATTTTTGTTATTTTACTTTTTACGCATGTATTCAGCTATTGAAAGGAAAAGAATGTCAACATTGAAATTGAAACAAGGATGAACCATTTGGTTGGATCCACAAAAAAATCATTCTTATACAGGTAAAATCAATGATAAACATATTTTTTAACCTACAATATGAAATCAAACAGACCTAGAAAAATCCAATCTGCTTATATTTATATTTATGTTTATATCAGGTTAAATGACTGTTGGCATTCTTCGGAGGTCATCTTGATGGTTAATTAGATGACGTCTAGACAAAAATACACATGAAATGTTGAAACATATTATCAAGTCCATGCATTGTTATTAATTGTTTATTTTAGACTTTTTGTAATTAGGATATACGTTTTAGTATGTGATAAATCAAATATGAGAATTTGAGTCAAATTGGTGATCATGAATTTGACAGCTTATTCCCCTTTAAACAAAGGTACACATAGGTAAAAATTAATCCCATTACTTTTTAAAAAAATAAGATTTTCTTTCCTGTAAAAATTTGAATGATTATTAGCTTAATTTAAAAATGTTTATTATAAAAAGAAATTGAACAGGTGAATATGTCATTCAGCAAGTGCTATACAGTGTCTATGTCTTTCTACAGCAAGGTCATATTTATTCTATGTCTTTCTACTGCAAGGTCATATTTATTCTATGTCTTTCTACTGCAAGGTCATATTTATTCACACCATTAAGTGGGATAATTGGAAGTTAATTTAGAAGAATTATTTGGAATAACAATCAATAGTCAGCTTTATCTGTGATGTGCCAAGTTATACATGGAACAAAGGAATTTTACTATGGATGGATCAATACTATCCACACTTTTACAGATGTCAGTTCCTTTGTAAAGTGTTTCTTGGAAGTATTTTAGCCTTATGAAAATCTTGAGGATACTGTCCAAAAATTATTTCTCACCTGTACCCAATAGAGTTAATTTATGTGATTATTTTTGTACAGAAGAGTTACATCATAATTTATTATCAGTGAATTGTCAGTCAATAAATATAAGTAATATGCGCCAAATCAAAAATATTTTTACTTTTTTTATAGTATCAAAATATTTTTAAAAGGTTGTAAGAAATTATAAGTATTTATATACATATAATGATAAAATGTCTTTATTTAATTTTTTTATTG